GTTACAATTTGAAACTCTGTGCATGGCCCACTTTTGCACTTGGATGAATCTGTTTCACAACTGGTGACAAGTTGGGTTCTTTATCTAATAGTTTTATCCGTAAAGTTGACTGGTAGAGTTCTGTCTGCACCAACACCAAGAACTAGACTCATAACATAAGTAATTACCAGGTGTCCAATGAAAGTATCCATTACAGTTCTACAGGAGGTCAGTCACGAGCCTCATTACCTCAGTGGTGATATGTCATGCTGTAGGACTGGGTGATCTGGGTTTCAGATACGCCTTGCTGAACGGTGAGGTTCATGGCTTCCTGACGATTACCTGCAACCATCTAATAAAACAATTTAGAGTGCACTGTGATGACAAACTAGCTAGCATGGTGGACACGTTGCAAACTTGATTAGTAGAATTCAGCCCGCATCAAACGAATGGCTAGACGCATGACATTAGTTAGCATCTAATGTCCAATAAAAATATACGTTAACTAATAGATTCAACTGAGATCTATAAAAAAGTTTCATTTTAAACTAAAATCTACATGACAACTAGTTTTTTGCTATTTTGACATGTAGTATGCAGATCAATTGATACTGTAGACTGACGTCACATCGAATTCAGGGATATAATGTGTTCATCAGCATTCCAGGATCAGTCAGAAATTGAAGTTGCATTGGAATAAATATGAGGAAAGTCCAACGTTCACCATAAACTTCTGAATCTCATTAATTGGACCTCAAACTTATGCTAAATTTACTAATTTTGATATCTTCAGTACCCAGCTATAATTTCAAAAACCTTAATATTGATAGTTCTTAACGAAATAATTGTTATTTTAAGTCCTCATATAGTTTTTACTGATTTTGACGTTTTGAACTGAGTTTATTTGTCCACTTCCCGCTGGAATAATAAATTTTTTTGCCTATCATCAAAGGTTATGCTAAATAAGTCTATTTACACATTTGTGTTTGCTGATCGTTCTTTATCCATTCATCTTTCTAATGAATTTATGATTCATAATAATCTGAACCAATCTTATCTCACTTATATATCTCTGGATGAGGATGCTAAAACCAGAGTCAGAAAGGATGAAATCTGTTTGGAAATCTTTCGCACTCAGCAGTACAGAAAACAGAATTCGGACCTTCGTCACCAATGTTAAGTCAGTCACTTCTTCTATATGGGCCAGAAACTTGGAGAGTCAAGAAAATAATTTCAAACAAACCAATTTAGACTTTCATCAACAGATGGCCAGCCAGAAACGATTAGGAACAAGAAACTCTGGGACCGAACCAATCAAGCACCTCTCGCTCAACAAATGTGCGGAAGAAATTGGAGATTAACACAAGTGGAAAACGACAAGTTCGGCATTGGTCCGAGGGTGACATGTAGAAGACCATGTGAGCAGGAGATGAGAGACTACAGGCAATCGTGGCGCCAGCTAAAGAGGACTGCAGAGAACATGGTGCTGTTGAAGTCCCATGCTGCGCTCGGAACTCAAGTAAATACTAATAAATATCTCCATTCAGTATCATAACAAACGTACCGGTAATTATCTGTTGTAATTCGTGTATAAAAACAGTTTTACATCTCCAATTACACAAATGCAAGAGTAGTGACCAGATGTTCCGGCTGATATCACAACACCTAATTAAGCATATCTTTTTTTCATGAATATAGTATCATTTACCTGGTTTCACTAACTTGTCAAATGAGTGTCCCAAAGACTTCGGTGCCTAAATTTTAACATCGGCTTTTAATTTTTTCTTCTGTCTTCAATCGACATAGACTACCTGTTCCTAGTGGATGAATGACTTGCAGTTTGTGCCTTTTCGCTTTTGATTTGGCTATTCAGATGCAGACTAATTAACAAATATTTTAAGCATTTGTGTCTAATGACCAACCTTAATGCATTATATATATATATATATAATCCCACATTGGATAATTTTATTTGATGTAACACACAGCGTTACGGTACTAATAAACGGATGATGTCTCAAGCACAATTTATTCCTCATAATCATAATTCACTTCATATAGTCATCATGCATCGATCGAATCGCAACACTACGTATCATTACTGAAGAGAGCTTGGAATGGCAGTCAGCTCTCTCTATCTCAACTTCATTGACTTTGAAAAGGCCTTCGTCAGAGTCAACCGAGAGGTGATCTGGCCACTACTACTGGGTGCCGCCAACAATTATACATCTCATCCAACAGTTGTATGACAATGCTGCATGCCAAGTAATCCACAGCTGAAACTTACGGAATCCTTCAAAGTGAAGACGGGAGTAAGTCAAGCTGGTTGCCTAATATCCCCAATCATTCTCCTGATTGTGGTAGACTGGATAATTTGACAGACAACGGGCCAGGAAGTAGACAACAGTAGACAACAATCAGCATATATGAGAGGAATCTGAAAGTAACAACCTCGTTTACCTACCTACCTACCTACCTACCTACCTACCTACCTACCTACCTACCTACCTACCTACCTACCTACCTACCTACCTACCTACCTACCTACCTACCTACCTACCTACCTACCTACCTACCTACCTACCTACCTACCTACCTACCTACCTACCTACCTACCTACCTACCTACCTACCTACCTACCTACCTACCTACCTACCTACCTACCTACCTACCTACCTACCTACCTACCTACCTACCTACCTACCTACCTACCTACCTACCTACCTACCTACCTACCTACCTACCTACCTACCTACCTAGAAAGCATCGTTACAAGTAAAGGCGGAACTGATGAGGATATCAAAGTGAGGATCGGGAAAGCAAGGCAAGCTCTCTCAAGTCTGTGTGGAGGTCAACAGCGTTCAACGTGAAAAATAAGATCCGGATTCTCAACTCTAATGTGAAGTCAGTGTTACCTTACAGATCAAAGACGACTTCGCGTCACAAAAGGCATTTCAAACAAACTACAGACTTACATCAACAGCTGTCTTCACTCAACGCCACTCAAGATCAGATGGCCGGCCAGAAAACATCAGCAATAGGGAAGGATCTCTGACAATGAGCTAATCAAACCAGCAGGAACAAATTGTATAGGAAATGTGCAGGAAGAAATGGAGGTGGATTGGCTGGCCATACTCTGAGAAAACCAACCATCAAGGGACATCACAAGACAAGCCATTGCTGGGATGGAACCCGAACGGGAAGCGGCGAGTTGGTCGTCAATGTGAGGGTGACATGGAGGAGGTCATGTGAAGAGGATATGAAAGCATGTGAGCAGACGTGGAGCCAGATGAAAACGTTGGCGGAGAACCGAACGCAATAAAGACGTTCGGCTGAAGCCCTATGTTCATCTAGGAACTAAAGGAGACAATAACAATATAGCTACATTGCCTCCTGTTTTTTTGTTGCACTTTTTAGGTATCTGGCATAGGTGGTGAGTCATTCTGATTGCACGTAACTGGTATGGATTCAGCGAACAAAAATTTTGCGTTGAACGTGCAGAAGTTAGGCTACATAAAGCTACTCAGGAAGCCCTGTGACTGGAATGTTTTGATTATGAACAATAAACTATACGCGAAGTGTCATGCAGTTATTGGTACTATATCGCTCTCTGTTATATCAAATAAATGTTTCTAATATGGAATTTATCCTGCCTGCTTAAACACACATCACATAGTTTATTTTTGAAAATACAAATACTCCCCATGAAGTGGCAAAAATTTATCACTATAAGGATTAATTCAAACTAAAGTTTTGATACTTCATACTACGATTGAAAGTTTTACATTATTGTTTGGTGTTTCCAACTTGTATGTTAACTGTTTTACTCCCTTTGGCCGTAACACTTTCGAATTTCAACAGCATTCACTTATAAGTAGCAGGCATCAAAATCGTTTCATTCCCTTGCTTGTTACTTAAAAATTTATTATAATCTTGGTCAGAAAATCTCTCAGAGTTACGGCATTCATTTCTTATATTTGTGATTTAAATGCTATCGCCAGCAGAAGTATTTCTTCCTAAACTAAAGATGTTTGCTCTCTTCATCCCGAATTATCTTGTTATAACGTCAGTGATTATGCCTGAATAAGCCACTTAATCTTTTTTTTCAATAATAACGTGTACTATTTTTTATCAAGTGGACTATCTTATCACGTGATGAAGGAAATTATCTCAATCACATGTTCCGAAAATAACAGATTATTTGAAGATGAAAGGAGTTTCCCTTACACAGTGCTTATTTTTATTCATCTTATCTTCTACACGTGACTTATCTTCTACGACGTACTTTTTCCCACATTATTCACAGGCGTCAATAGGAAGCAAAATTTATTGAATGTGATTATAATTTAACTTCATTCCAACATAACCATGCGAGGCGAAACATAAATGAATTGTAATACAATTATATATTTTTTCATGAATTATAACTGCAGATAATTTGAAGCTCACTGGTCTAATGTAGTTTAATGTATGTTGTTATTGGATGCACCAAATTTCTATCATGCACCAGTAACTTACTGACAGAAGACATTCAAACTTTTCTGTTCTACGTAAGATGTCTCAGGTAAAGCGGTTGGGCTGGATAGGTATTACGTCATTACCTAAGGGTTATACTATTAATAATCACTTTGGTTATTTTTTTTATTCCTTTACGTTCCCAGTGGAACATAGGGCTTCAAGCTAAAACTTGGAAGTTTCACTAGCAGTTCTGTTTATTTTTATGGGATGGAGTTGCTAGCCTCATGTCAAACCTTCCCTCTTTACCACTCTAATTACTGGCTTAGTGAGGTGAATTAGTGCGTCAGCCGGGGATCGAACCCTCGAAACACATTAGGCGTGGTTGGCGAGCATTCTACCGCTGTACCACTGACTCACCACTTTGGTTATTATCATATTTATTTCACTGATGACAGAATTTAGCTTTTGTGGAAAAAAATTAAACGAACGTTATTTCATAATGCAAATCTTTTTCTGACACTAGTGCTTCCTATCAAATAAATTGTTTTCTATGAGCATGGAAACTAAACTAAAGTTTTTTCAATGACTAAAAAATATAGTTGAAAAGGTTAGCTATGTTTTATCATAACTGTTTGCGTTCTACACACCATGTTATGCAGTGTAATAGGGTAAGTAACATTGATGTTAGGCGTCGACTGTTGAGCTAGAAGAGAAGGTCAATGGATGAAGTTGTGAAGGTGAATCAGTCAAGATGCCTAGGACACTTGTTGCGCATACTCCTTCTTGGACAGGAAGTGTTAGCTGGCATAGAATCGGGTTTGAAAAGAGCCAGTAGCAGTCAAACCAAAACTTAACATCAGTCCATGAAATATTTGACAGTTAGTTTAAGTTACGTATAGAGGACTAGACTTCCTAGTTGAGGTCCTCAGGATTCTAAGAACCAACGCCTAGAGACTACCGATGATATGGCTCATAACTGTTCTCAGTGGCGCAGGTATATTTACTTCTTGTGATATGCCATATCCATTAGACTCTATTGCTTCTCCATGTTACTATTCTTTCTCACTCACATTTATGTTTATTATCGTTCTTTGAATCTTTCTTTTCTCTTTTGTCTTCCTTTGTTTACTACATAGAGTGTGGGAACTTGAGCTGCTGTACTTCTATGTGAAGTTCTACGCTGAAACTCGTCGGTCAGTCACATGTAACTACGTCGAGGAGAGTAGTTGAAAGGGCTCAGAGAATTTTTCAACTAAAGTACCACTCTGATTTGTACCTCATTGTGATGATAACTGTTTCAGTTACTGTATCGTTTAGATGTTCATTGCTGGTTTTTTTCCATTGATCGTATGTACACAATACAAATAATTCTGCCGAATACGAATTTCTGATTTTTGTCCTATCCATGTTGTTTTGTTTTTGATAACGATTACAAATAAGTAATATACACAAAAACTAGTCAATACCTTTAATTTATAAAGTTTCACATCTCTACATTGTGTTAAGTGATACTTGCTAATGTTTGAGAGCTAATGGTGGTTAACCGTTGGCCTCATTAGAACGAATGAATATCGGTTAATTAGCGACTATCGAGACGGGGCTTCTTGCCTACTGCTTCCAACAGTTTGAACTCAGCCCAAAGTGCACCACAACGATGGACTTTCTAACTGGGTGGAAAGATTACAAAACTGATTGATAGAATTCAGTCAGAACTAAGGAATAAACACATAATACTGGTTACTTCCCAATAACCAACTAATGAATAGATAAGGTTTGAATTCTTAACATCTGGTCGATAGTTATCGGTTTGAACTGTTATTACTACTCCTTTGGGTTCCAAGTGGAACATAAGGCTTCAACAAAACATCTCCACTTTGTTCTATGTGGTCTGTGTGGTTCTGTCTTCTTCAGCCGAGTCAGCTACTGCCCATAATGTCTCATTTCCACCTCGCCACACGATATCCTCCATATCATCCTTCAGCCAACGCCCCACTCATCACTTCCCATTCCGATTCCACTCAAGCAATCGCCTGTATTGCGCGTGATGTCACTCGATACCCTCCTCATCGGATGCCCGATCCATCCTCACTTTCTCCTACATATTTGTTTAGTGATCGGCTCTTGGTTGGTTTGTTCATCGCCAGAATTTCTTGTTGTTAATTCTTTCTGGCTGGCCATTCAATCTTCAGCATAAAGCCAGAGAAGGTGGCAGCTGTTGACAAAAGTCTGTAACTGGCTGTTGGAAATCCTTTTTGTGGCACGGGTGTCAAGTTTCTGACCCGTATAGAAGATACTGACTTCACATATGCGTTGAAAATGCGAATCTTGTTCCTTATTCTGGCTGAGCGCAGTGCAGAAGATTTCCAAACTGGTTTCAGACTGATGAAGGCGTATCTTACATCTCCAATTCCGACTTTAACATCTTCATCCGTGCTGATTGCCTGTGGTTGAAACGATGCTTCCTAGATAAGTGAAGGAGGTAACCTGTGTTAAATCTCTCCGTTTGATGGTGATCAATGCTATCTATTGTTGCTGTTGATGGTAGTTGGGTGGTTACCTTCATCAACTCCGTCTTCTCTACGTTTACCAGGAGTCCTGTCTTTGCTGCTTTTCAGTCAGTTTGTTGGTTCAACTATCATTTAATTAATAACTGAGATATCAAGTGAATACTTCAATTTACTACGAGATTGTTTCGAAACATTATTTATGTGTGCATCTCTTAAAACAGTGCCGAAACATGATGGCTTCTCAATACATTATTTCTTGATGCCTATTGGAATCGGCTGACTACATTATGCATATCTCCGTTGTAATAAGTCTATGAAAATTCTGACTCAAGTATGGTTTCTTCTTTTTGAAATGCTGTTTACCATGCTGAAAACACTCAATCAGGATATTCACTTTACGCTTGATTTAATAAAAGTGACTGACCTCAGGATCTATGTCATCACACATCGATATTGCTAGAATCAATAAAAAGTAGGGTAGGTTGAGCACCCGTTTCATTCTACTTTCAACCTTTTAGCAATGTGAACATATGAACCCACGATGAATCGATTTCAGGTCATCATTCTATGTTATTGTGGTTCGTTACCAAAAATTATCAATTTCACTACAAACGATTATTCATCAGTAATGATCTTCCACATTTAATCCAGAAGTCTGGACAACAAATTGCAGTCACTGAACCAAACGAAGTCACGTGTCAGGAAAAATACAAATTCGGGATAAAGCTGGTGCGACATTGCTAATTAACAAAACTTTTAAAATAACAGATCACTAAATCTCAACTCTATGACTAGGTAGAACGGTGCTGGCTTTCAGTTTGCTGATGTAGGACAACTGAAAGTTGAAACCAAAGAGCCTAAGAGTGCTCTAATGGTTTCTCCAAACAATGTCAATTTGTGGTGAAATCTTCCTTGAAACTACTGAAATTCTCCGAAAACCAAATGCATCACAGAAATAGTTGGATTTAGTCATTCTTTATAAAGACGATTACTTTATTTAAAATTTTTTCAGAACTGTTTAAAGTGAGTAGCTACTAATGTATCGTTTAAAGCCCCGTGAAAAGGAAGCCAAATGAAACCATATCTCTTTTAATATCCTTGATTGTATGTTTAAACGTTATCAACCTACCGAATTACTTATTAAGCAGTGTTGTATTTTTTCCCCTAAGTGATAGTTGGTTTGGCTATAAATAGAGAATATGGAGCTCTGTCTTGTATAAAATCACTTACAATACACTAAGTTGTGCCATAAGTACTAATTTATTTCCTGAACTGTTTATGAATAACGAGTTTGTTGAAATTTGCTTTCACCTTTACAAATTGTTATCCTGTCATAAAATTTAAATCGACACTTGTGTCATATATCCAAATTTCAATCCACCATCTCAGCACTTATGAGATAGCCAAGACAAGTTCTCAGCAGCCATGGCTGGAGGTTTTTTAGTAAAGAAACTGGAACCCAAAAGCCGAATGTATTCGAAAATATACTATTAAACCAGTTAAGATATTTATGCGTCTGGTTTATCCCACAATTAATTTTTAATTGGTTAGAAACTAAGGTAAGATTAAATAAGCAAGTTGGGTGATGTAATCTAATTGACGGGGTTGAGTAGAGCTCAGCCGAAATTAAAATTGAACAAACATCAGATTAACAACAGTGATAGTAAGGGGTAAAGACTTATTAAGGGGTGGGGGAAGAAAATATTATACAATTAAGAAACAGACAGGCAAGAAAAAGACGAAACGAAAATTACATATTTGGTGTTAAGATACGTCAGGTCCACTGTAGATTTAATGACTGAACAAACTTCTTTTGCATGCAGAGTTCAGATTTTAAATGTGAATTGTCATTGCTTCTGCCGTTTGAAGAAGTTTGACTCGTTCTCCTTTAGCGAGATTCCCCCGTTTCTGTGAATGACTTTGATTTACTTTGTTGGTTTGCTCAGTGTCCTGATTCCATCAAGTGTTCCACTTACCCTCGTGGTTTTATAAAGGAGAAAAAAATGTACCCCTGAAGATCTATACTTGACAAATCTCTACCTCTTACTACCACTGTTGTTAAGCTGATGTTTGTTCAATTTTAATTTCAGCTGTGCTCTACTCAACCCCGTCAATTAGATAGATTACGTCACCCAACTTGTTACTTTAATCTTACTTTAATTTCTAGCCCACTAACGAAATTTATTACCGAAAAATTTACAATTCTAATAATTTTATTCTAGTTTCTGCCCGATTAACGCTATCTACATTACGTAATTTGTTACCTAAGATAAATTTTCAGTCAGTCGAACAGTAATCAGCCTGCTGAAAATGTTATTTATTAAGGACATGTTTATGATGGAAGCATCTTTTATGAATGAACTTTTTTAATCGAACTAGTTATCACTCTGGTCAACACCACCAACAGCAACAACAACAACAGACAGCAATCAGCATAAATGGAAGGAACCTGAAAGAAACAACCTCCTTTGCCTACCTGGGAGGCATCGTTTCAACTACAGGCGGAACTGACGAGGATATCAAAGCAAGAATCGGAAAAGCAAGACAAGCTTTCACTACTCTCAAGTCTGTCTGGAGGTCAACAGCACTCAGCATCAAAAATAAGATCCGGATTTTCAACTCCAATGTGAAGTCAGTGCTACTTACTATACGGATCAGAGGTTTGACACGCCGCATCACGAAGGCCACTTCGAACAAACTACAGACCTTCATCAACAGCTGTCTTCACTCAATACTCAAGATCAGATGACCAGAAAAGATTAGCAACAAGAATAGATCTCTGGGAAAGAACCAATCCAGCAGGAACCAATTGTTCAACAAATATTGAGGAAGAAATGGAGATGGATTGGCTGGCCATACTCTGAGGAAACAATCCATCAAGTGACATCACTAGACAAGCCATTGCTCGAGTGGAACCCGAAAGGGAAGCAGCGAGTTGGTCGTCATTGCTAGGGTGACTTGGAGGAGATCATGTGAAGAGGAGATGAAAACATGTGGGCAGACTTGGAGCCACGGGAAAACGTTTACAGAGAACCGGACGCAATAGAGACGCATGGCTGAAGCCCTATGTTCCTTTAGAAATTAAAAGAAACAATAATTATTATCACTCTGAATAAGTACTTAAGCTGACAACTTGATAACAAAACTTCAATGAAATACTGTTGTCCACCTTGCTGAGAGACATTGTAGACGACTTAGTTAGGCGTGATTCTGTCTTTGTTTCCTGGCATATTTCAACTTGTTGAATTATACAAAACTGAATAAGTGAAAAGTTATTAAAATCCTTTACATAAACTAACCTGTCCATAGGTTATTATTTCCAACGAGGTTGATTTCTGAACTAGGTGATTTTATTCTTGTATTGTCATCAAAATCCAAATTCTTTCCTATAAATGATCCATCCGATTTAAATCTTCTGAAATGTTGTGAACTTCGATTGAATAAAGATGAAGAGAATGATGTTTTCATAAAATTTGTATTCTGTACTGAGTTGTTAATGTATCCACTTAGAGATTTCCAGATTAATTCTCCTGACACTGGTCTCAGTACATTACTAATCATAAAAAGAATTTATAGAAACGAAAACGTGGTAGAAAAGAAGCATCACTTTCCAAAAAAACACTTCGTCATTTATATAAGGCGGTTAAACATTTCCCTTGATATTCAAGTGTTGGTTTGTAGGGATTTGATTGATTTGTTACAGGATTTCATCATGAACTGACATCATTTAGAGAACCATTGGAAAACCTGGGATTACTGGACAGCTGTTTCGTCCTAGTTTGGGACTCTTAGATAACACGCAATGGGATGCTCACTGGCAACCGGCCCTGTTCACACAGTTACTTGGGGTTCTAGTGGAAAGTCATGACCAATAAGGTACAGCAGGTTGGGTGGGAAGATAACAACTCGTCGAAGACATTGGCTAGTGATCGCGCTATGTTGTTAATCGGCAGAATTTGGAATTCATAGGCTGGTCATTCGATTGGGTCACAGTGGCGTAACGGTCTACGAGCTCGTCTTGTAGCCAGAAGTACCTGGGTTCGAACCACAGGATTGCGTACTGATGAGGAGTCCCAAGCTAGGCTGACGAATCAGCTATCCAGTACTCCCTGAAGGTTTTCCAGTTGTTCTCTAACTGATATCAACTCATGATGAAATCCTGTAACATTTCCCTTAATATGTACGTATACTTGAAAAACTTTTTATCTTTCTTTAAAACCAAAAGGTATGACCAATCAATTTCATAAACTTAATTCATAAATTTCCGATAACACATACCAGGATAAATTAATGTGGCAACTATTTAATTTAGACTCTCACCGCTAGACAAAAATAACCGCAATTCTAATGCAAAGCAACTGGAAACAAAATTTCGTGCCCAGTAATTAGAAATACAGTAAAAGGTAGTTAACTAGGGAGAATACTGTGACTTTCTTTGCATTGTGGTAAATAAGCTAAATTTTTCAAAGATAGAAACATAATACTCAAGGCCTTTTGTTATTTCATTAAACTTTCTACTACCTGGCAACGTGACACAGGCATCAAAATATTTAAAAAGCTATGAACACATTAGTATTGCTACAATTAAGGACAGTCAACATATGCCACACGTGTGAATATTCTTCTTACTTAATCGTGATTATCAGACTACACATTCCTAAATTATGAGACGTTTTATAGCAGACTTTCTCAGACTTCCTCTCTTCAGCATTTTTTTCCATCCCTTGTAATTTTGCTAGTCTTCTAATCGTTTTCATATGCTTCACAGCCATCCCTCTTTAGAAAGAATCACAAACATATTTTACTGTAAATATGACTTTTTTCCTTCATGTTCCTCAGTGGAACATAGGGCTTCAAGCTAGTGGCTTGAAGTTTCTGTAGCATTGTTTATTTTACATTATGGGGTTGCTAGCCCCATGCCCAACCTTTTCTCTTCACCAGCATTATTTCTGGCTTAGTGAGGTAAAGGAGTGCGTCGGCTGGGGATCGAACCCTGGACCATGTGCATGGTCGGCGAGCGTCCATGCCACTATGCCACCGAGGCACCGTAAATATGTCTGCACAGTGTTAAGTTTTACATGGATATTAATAATCCTTTAAATCACAGATTTATTGAAAATAAGCCTGGGAGCATCTGGAGTCAAATAAAGATAAAATAAAATTCTCAAGGTCATCAATTTTGTATTGCTGTTATGTCTTCCTAGAAAACTGTATCACATTTTATTGAACACATGCCTTAATATTACTCCCGTGAGTTCTGAGTAGAAAATAGGGTCCCAGCAGCACATCTGCATCTCATCCTGTTCTCTAAACTCCTCTTTAGCTGACCCCACTATCGCCCATACTCTCTCATCTCTTCACCACACGACCTCCTCCATATCATCTTCGGGCACCCCACCCATCGTTTCCTATTCACATTCAACTAGAGAACCTGACGCTTGATGTCACCCACTGGTCTCCTCAGCCTGCATTCAATCCACCTGCATTTTTTTCTGCATATTTGTTAAGCGATAGGTTATTGATCGATTGCCTGCTGCTAATTCTTTCTGGCCAGCCATCCTATCTTCAGTATCGAGAAGGCAGGTGGAAGTCTGTTGGAAGCGCTTTTCTTGACGCGTCAAGTTTCAGACCCATATAGGAGAAGTGATTGACTTAACATTGGTGTTGAAAATTCGAAATTTATTCTTTATGCTGAGTGCAGATTTCCAGATTGATTTCAAAACGATGAACCTCTGTCTTATCTTTACGGTCTTGGCTTTTACACCCTAATCTCTACCAACTGTAGTTTAGACAGTATTTCCTAAATAGTTAAGCGAAATATATTTTTCCAAATATCGGCTACCAACAGTGATTAGTACTTGTTGTTGTTGCTGGTTGGTTATCTTCATCATCTTCTATTTTTTCTGTTTCCCCTCCCAACATGTTGGTTTTCATCCGTAAGCCTTCTGGTTTATATGATATTAGGCACAAATTGTCCTCAAAATCCAGATCTTCTAGAGTCCTTTCATTGTCTAACGTATTCTTGTCTTCTCGGTCCACACTCACTGTATGCCGCATATTAGGCAACCTTATCTTCCACCTGTGTTCACATGACTAATATTCTTAAAAAGCTGCTTGTTGAAGGCACTTAGTCTACACAAAAATGAGGAGAAAACAAAGAATTTACTCTGCCTTTTGCATGTTTTATTTTCTACTTTTTAATGACGAGAGATTATGTTATCAAAACCACCGCGTTCTATAACTAAAGACTGAGTACTGAAATATCCCTGACAGTTTGTGAATGAAATCATTTGGTCAATTGGTACACAAATAGTTAAAACGATGGTATGTGCTACCGACAGGAATTTGTAAATAGCGTACTGCGTGTGTGATGTCTTCTGGAAGAATCTTCAATAGCAGAGCGACGGTCAGGTGGCGAAAATACAAAGTGAAAGATCCTTTTGAAACAGTATAGAAGGCATAAGCGAAGGACAAGAGGATCAAAATAGAAAGAACATTTGAAAACAGAAATTTCATTATGAGGTTACTGTACTTCACCATAATTATATCTTTATGCTGAACAAACAATTCTGCTACAAATACATTTGCTTTCTGCTGCAACACAAAATGTGACTTTTAATGATGAGCATATTGAACTAGTAAATTATGATGAACTACAGCACTTCATGCAATTCTTCCCATTAATTAACTTGAACAAAGCAAGAACAACAATTGTACCAGGATAACATGAGCTCATCTTTTATTATTTCGAGGATTCTTCTCAACTGCTTACTACCTGAACGATGAAAAATATGAATTACATTACATTAAAGATTTGAACATACTTTTCCGCGATCACAAGGAGTAATTGTTAGGAAGTAAAAGTAACATTAGTCCGGAATGATTTAACTAATTAAGAGTTCCTATTTATAGAATAATTAGACAATTATGCTTGGAAACAAAAAACAGAGTTTCGTATATATATATGTGCATGCTCTTTCTAGGTAAACCTTGTTTCTACACACACATATATATATACGAAACTCTGTTTTTTGTTTCCAAGCATAATTGTCTAATTATTCTATAAATAGTAACTCTTAATTAGTTAAATCATTCCGGACTAATGTTACTTTTACTTCCTACCAATTACTCCTTGTGATCGCGGAAAAGTATGTTCAAATCTTTCATGTAATGTAATTCATATTTTTTATCGTTCAGGTTGTAACCAGTTGAGAAGAATCCTCGAAATAATAAAAGATGAGCTCATATTATCCTGGTACAATTGTTGTTCTTGCTTTATTCAAGAACTACAGAACTACTGTCCAGTGACTGGTGATGTCTCACGGAATATTTACCTTAACTGATAAACAGGAACCGTCCTGACTCATATGAGTCCCTGGAAATTATTTGTGCTAAGCTGTGGTATTTACTAGGAAATTTCGTATGTCTGCTGCCGGTTGGAAGAATTGATCTCAGCAGGTAAAATAAAGACAGCTGTGTTGCTGATTCTCCAAATAAGTGAATCTGTCATCTGACGGTTAAACCTCCTGGGACCTGTAAATCAGTGCTACTGTGAGGTGTGAACACGTTGGTCGGTCGCTAAATAGTAATTAATGCCATGCGTCTAATCCCTGGTTTTAGTGCAGACTGAATCCCATCAAACAAGTTCTCAAATTTGCAGACATGCTACGTGACTCACCACTACGGTGTACTCTGAATTGTTGTTAGATGGCTGGTGACAATCGTTTGGAAGCCATGGATCGAGGTTTCATCAGCATGGCGCATTTGTAATCTTAAAAGAACTTACGTCAACCAAAGTATCTATTTCTATCCTACAGGAGGTTAATTGCGAAGCCGAAGAGCTCAGTGGTAGTGGTTTTGACTGCAGCACTGGGTGACCAGGGTTTGAGTTTCAGAAAAGACTCGAGGTCCATCAAGACTGTAAATACGCCTTGCTGACAGGCAGTTGCTAACAATCATGAAACCTAGATCCAAGGCTTCCTTACAGCCATCAAACAAGAGGGGAATAGTTTTTAATAAATGAGTTAACTAGATGACTCTCATCTTTGTCGTTTAGGTAGTAAAGACCAAAAACCTTTAGAAAAACAGAGTCAGTTGTTACAGAACATTAAAGAAACATTATTGATCCCCTTAAATGATGTCATATATATATATAGGTGTAGGCTTCCCATTCGGGGTTTTCCAGATTCCAAGAACCACTGACTGGAGACAATCGGCAATATGACTCAAAATCATTGTCAGTGTCGCAGATGTATTTACTCATTGTGATCTGTCATTTCCAACCCTACTGTTTTTCCATATTACCATTATTTCTCCCTCACGTTTCTGCTCATTATCGTTATCTTTAATCTCTTTCCTCCTTTCTTTTATCTTCCCCTGTTTACAACATGGAGCGTAGGAACTTGAACTACTGCACTTCTGTACAAAGTTCTATGCTGTAACCTGTCAGCTAGTCATGGCACAGATGAATGATTATGAAATTACAGTTCTTTGAATCTCAGAATATTCAGTACTTTTATGAGATATGCATCATCCTTCTACAAGTTAAACCATGACTATATACGTAAACTCAGTGAACCTATAAAGGATGAAATAAGTTTCCTTTGCAAAGGGATAGGGTAATTAGGTAATCAAGGGACATAAATAACAATCCATTTGGTTATTTTTCCTTAGAAGTTGTCGTAAACATATGGGGAATTCTTACTATCAGTCAGAAAGTACTCTTAGATTATGAATAATTAATAATTACTTGATAACCACTCTTGCATCGATAGGATTTTTGTTTATTGAAACGGACCAATCTTGATAAATACCAAAAATTGTAGAATATTGGTCCATTGTCAACACTTTAGTATAGTAGACAAAAATGTATTTCAGTTTTTTATACTACTATCTAAGTAATCAGTAGTGGTTTTTCTTAGATTCACAACTATTTTTAGACGATATATTATTCTTATAAGGAAACTATTAAAGTACATCACAAAAGTTTAATATGTAGGTGAAAACAACGATCCTACTTTTCATACTGTTATATGATCTATAATTTTGCATTTGATAATCAATTTGAATCGTATAGCGAGTCTTTTATTTTACGTTTAATGGTCACATGTAATCATTCATTGTAAAGACCTATAATTTCTTTTGGTGTCTTAGTGGTTAGGCAGTAGAATCTCCACTGACTTCGCACGTGCTCCTGGTGATATTCCCAACTGAGATACTCCGAAACCTCGCCTAGCCAGTAATAAGCCTGGAGAAGAGGGAAACTAAGGGAGTGAGGATAGCAGGCACACATACACATCCTTCAAAATAAAATACTGCCGCTACTAAAATTCCAAAGCTGAAAGCTTGAAACCCTGTATTTCACTGGAAACACAATGTGACGAATGAAGGGGAATAAATTGATATAAGAATAAAACTTGTGCACTGTGGTAGAGTATAATTCCATTATGGGCAGAATTTGTTTTGATAAAGTTTCACAGTGTTATACAGCATTATTTACTGATGACGTTTCGAGTACAATTTATTGCTCATAATTATATCAAGGTACTCACACAACTTTCTAACTTCGTTTATATAATTCCATTATTTTCCATCGCTTGATTTGATTGGTAGTAATATTTTCTACATTTCCAGTATGAGTGATGAGTCACTCCTATCGCATGTGTTGAGTGTAGAGTAGATGAACAAGGATTCAGTAATCAACCTCTTTCTCCACCTACCTAGATTACTTTTTAGAATTTTAACCCTCTCCCACCCTATTGTGTGGTTGTGTGCTAATGCATGCATTGCAATTGCTGAGCTTTTTTCTAAATTACTTATCTTCTCGGGGTCAACCATTCTTGTATTAGCTAGATTCTTATGTTCCGACAATCTGATTACCCCTGATCTACTAGTTTAACCTATGTAGCTGACCTCACAGTCATTACAGAGTATTTTGTAAATTTTGTCTAATTGGGTCAACAGGGTCCTTTAACCTACAGAGCTTGTCCCTGAGTGAGTTTGTAGGTTTACAAGTCACTCTAAATCCTGCTTTACCCATAATGGAAAGGGAAATAAAGTAATTTCTCATTGGTAAGACGTTGTCATCCTTAGTTTGTTTTGTAATCCAGCACAGGCGTTAGAATCGGTGAAACCTAACAGTTTGAACTGTAAGTGACCAATTAGCTTTTACACAGTTTCACATATGTTGGGCTGATGAATGTCGCAAGACCTAAGTTTTTGACTTCAAAATTTACTGTCGATGTTTTCATTAGTCCATCACAACAAGAATTTTGCTAATTTCTTAGATGAACTTATAAATAACAGAGGTCAGTATGTCAGTATGACCTAACTTCTCACGAAGAAATTCACTCTCAGAAATATACATTAAAAATAAGAGATTTTCTTATGACTTACTCTAAGCTACATTTTGTTTCACATGATTGTGGAGATATCGCTACACTTTTGTGCTCTAGTATTTGGGATTTATAAAGATTACACACTTGTTCAAATATCTGGAAAGGAATTAAATGTAAATTTGTAGAAAATTAATTAGTTTTTTCAAAAAAACCTCTGCAAATTCATCAAGACTAAAAGTGTTTTGATTCAGACTTGATGGAGAAGATTTGTAGCCCAGGTAGAGGATATCAGTGTATTTGTGCTCAGCGAGCTGAGAACATTCTTGCTGACTATTCCAATCAGCTGAGGTTCATGAGGATAAATGCCCACAAATGATATCTTTGGTATCAAGCTGCGAAATATCATCTCCTTTGACATGCACTTTGATCCTGATGATCAATCAATATTTATACTCTGCAATGCCTAGTCAAATACTAACACTTCCAAGTTTGTACGAGCTAATCTGTGCATCTCATTTGTTAAAAATTACACAGTGTGGTGTGCCTATTCCTTTCTTTGGTACAGACTGAACTCTATCAGTCAGGTGTGCAATGTGGCCACCACTGCCTTGCTAACGAGTGCCAACTAGCTAGAAACTTAGGTCCAAGGCTTCCTGCCGATTGCCTCCAACCATCTAATATCATCAATTTTATCCTTGTTAAACAACATGTGACCATTTCTTCTAGCGGCAAAGTTAAACTTTAAGCACCACTAACTACCAATCAGCGGGTGACCTTCAACGAACCAATCACAGGAAAGAGGCATGAAAAATGCATAAAACTGTTACATAAGATATCTTCCTCTGAAATGTGATGGAAACATCTCCCAGTTTAGTATAAATGTCATTTGAAACGTTACACCCCATTCTGTACATATATTCATCTAAATTACTATAAATGATATTCTTTCGAGATCCATTTATAGCTCTAATCCTGTTTTTAAATCTTTCTCAAAATCTTTCTATAGAATTCGTGTGTGTGTCCCTGTAATGGGATCCACAAAATCATTAGAATAATTAAATCTGTGATAAATAAATTCAAGGGATGGTAGGGAGTTATAACCTTTCCATTCATCCGTGTGTATTATAGATCCCTGTTTCACCAGTCGAGTGATAATAGGTACTAAGGTAGTTGACTTTCTGTCTGCTATTCTCTCAACGAATCCTTACTGTAGGGAAGTGTCATATAAGCTGATCACCCAAACATTGTTTGCTCGCTCGCGAGCACGATTGTATTTTTTCTTCAATAAGACAGTTTCGTCCAAGTGTACGACGAAGTAATTCTTTCTATTTTCCATGACGCAATGTCTCTGCAGTGCTGATACCGCTGAACTGTTGATACGAAGCTATTTTCAGTTTCAACAGCTGTACTTCTCACAGGCTGTTTTCAAACCCACTAATTACAAATATACAAAATCTGGGTTAAGGATAGATGGGACCTGGCAAAAAATGCTCCTGCGAAATATTAGAACCACCAGCTTACCTTCCCTGAAACTAACTCGTCTAAGACGAATCGCACAACGATGGATATATCCATCAATAGACCTACTGAAGCTTTTTAAACTTATGACACCCCTACATGAACAAATACTTTCCTTCCTAATCAACCCCACATCCAAGTAATACAGGAAAACCTTATCCTCGCCAAAATGCAACTGCAACTGCATTAGAGCAGGCATTTGACTCGAATCAAGCGAAATAGAACCATTCGACTCACGTGTATGAGACTCATTGGCCTATTCAAGGTCATTCGCCGACTGATAATTAGTGGTGCTTTAAGTTTTACTTGGTCATTCTACCTAAAGTGTAATTACATTTTAATAACTCTCTTATGGATCTTTTACTAGTAATCAATATTAACGTAGATTGAAGCAGTTTCCTTCTACATTTTAGCATCACACTGTCTTCGCTCAATGTCAGATGGTTGAAGTTAGCCAGTTAGAAGCTTTGATTCTAAATTGCATTCTTATCAGCACCGGTTGGTAAGATGCGTCTGCACTTTCGAAGGTACTCGTACCCTTCTCCTGCGGATTCGAACTCCCACCACTTAAAATGTTTTCAGAGTATACCGCTATTTTGAATCACACTGAATGGTGACAGTGGTCGCTTTCTAATGGCCAACCAACGTTGCTTTAACCTAATATTATCTCATATTTGGTCCTTTGACTACACACTTGCAACTTTATTCTTGAGATAAAATATATATATAAATGAATAAAAACCAGCTATTTTTTATACCAAATGCTATAAAGTTCATCAGATCATATTTCATCTTTTATTACTTTGTTTTATTACTATTATTTTTATCTTGCTTTGATTGTAATAAAAACAAACACAAGCTGGACAGAATTAGTTTAAAATGCTTACACAATATTCATGAATTAAACTTTCAACTTCTCTCTCCTGATAATAAAATGTTTCCATATCTTTAGTACATTTGGTTGGTTCATAGTATTCACACGAGTTGTCTACAACTGGTCAATTCACAAAAGTGAAAAAAAAAAAACAAGTTTTAATATTCATGTTACCACAGAATTCTGAGAGAAAAATGTTACGGAAAGTTATGGAAAATTCAGTATTATTTAAGAGTAATAATAATAGCAATTTACTTTATTCCAGAACAGTACTTACTTATGATACAGTGTGGAATTCTCAGCATTTTCATCTAATTTACTCAATGACAAAAGTTGTCACAGGGTACACGTAACCAAAGGTGATAAAAGCAATTTTTTCAGCTTTAACAGGAGAGGATAAAAGAGCCATTTGTTATAAGTTTCATGCTTAACACTATCTCTGACACACAGAATGCGGGCTAAATAGTGTATTGTTGAGGTTTTGTACTTAGTTGTGCAGGCATATAATCTTTCATAATGACTTTTACTCCTATCTGATGATATGCAAAGGGAAAGTTGAGAAAAGAGAGGATGTTGAGAGTCAGACAGTATGGCTAGGACCATTTTCACATGAATTCAGGTGCTTGTCGACTACTGTAGTAATGAGATGATTCGTTGGAAGATTTCATCATGAACTGACATTAGTTAGAGAACCATTGGAAAACAAACAGGGAGAACAAGACAGCTGTTTCTTCAGCCTAGTTTGGGACTCTTCAACAATACTCATCCACAGCCAAGGATTTGAACCCACGACCTTCTACTCACAAGGCTAACGTGCTTTTTAGACCATTAAGCCACTGGGACCCGATCCAATGGCCAGCCCATGAATTATAACCTCTGTCAATTCATGACATAGCGTGACCACTTCGCAATTTCTTCTTCGATTAGTTACTGCCTCACCTTCGACCTGCTGTACCCTACTGATCACGGCTTCCCACTAGAACCCCAGGTCACATGAATTCAGGTGTTTGTCGACTACAATAGGAATGAGAATAATTAGTGGCATATTACTTGCCCTACTAAAAAGGTTTTTTACTCTTTGAAATATGAAATAGTCCTTTATAAGTAGTCCAGGAAAAACTAATTGTTGTTCAGTACTAAATTTATAAAAGTCATTTTATGCTCAAAGATTATATGCACATATTCTCTATGCATGAATTACTTGTAGACAATTTCTAACCATCAGGATGCTGTTTTGTCCTTAAGCTCTTGCGATTCACTAAGGAAACTTTCTCCTTTTATACAATTCAAAAACTGTCTAGTTAAGGATACTCATTTCGATAGCTTCTTCATCAAGTTCTGTAGTTATATATATTCGAATTAGTTAATTATTATTATTATTGGCAACATTATGGTTTTTAAATAACGCCAAATCACTAAGATCAACAGATTACGGTTTTAAACTTGTTTGTGTGACAATCTGCTTCAATATAACACAGATAAGTTAAGAAAAACAATACGGTATTTACACATTTATGAATTGATAGGCTCCACAGCAGGCCAGGGACCTGAGTCTCAGAGTCTTGGTTGTTTCAAACGAATTTCTACTCTTCTAATGTTTGAAGAGTCCGGTATCTAGTGATTTTTGTCAGTTTATCTGGTATTTGATTAAAATAAGAAAAACACTCTTCAGTTCCGGCTTTGTAGCCGGTTTAGATTAAGTAATATAATATCGAACTGCTGATGATTTTTATTATACCTTTGTTTAATTGCACTGGTAGGTGTTATCGAGCACGAAAATCAAGTTCTAAGAGAAACAGTCAGCATACATGGCTCCACTACAATAGTTGAAGTGTTAGATACAGGAATAAGGGACCAGCACACGTATCTGGTATACAATCGATTGGGAAATGAAATACATTGACTAAGTTCAAATTATACTCCCTTGAATCATTGACATTTTCTGTAAGTTTATGCACATTATCAAAACTATAAAAAACCATTTAGCACAAGATGGTTATCTAAATGTTATGGCTCAAGACTCATCAAGAAGAAATCAAAAGTATATGACTTCCAGAATCATATATTTATTTTTTAATTTTTTTTTTATTTACAGCTTGATTTCCACACCGTATTTTTAGTACAAGTGTGGAATTTTCAGCATGGATATCGGTTGCCCAAATTCAGGCATACCATAGATATCGGGTGTGCGCCGGCAGGGGATCGAACCCCGGACCATGTGCATGGTCGGCGAGAGTCCTAACCACTGTGCCACCGACGCACTAGAAATGTGATTCGGGCTTCTAAAATCTCTCAAGTGGTTCTCATTTACGGTAGTGTCCTCTGCAGTTACTTAGGCATATTCAACCAGGAATAATTCTGTGTAGATAAAACTATCACATTAATGATAGAAACTAGAAAGTCATATCCTATTGACACAACTCTGTGCTTGGATTTTATAAATTTATTACACTAAAAAGAAGTCTTTGAAATACACAAGTATAAATACACTATTAACGTTTTTATTATGTGAACAAGAGATATTCATTTGTTTCCAATTTGATTAACCTTACACCGACCGCACCAATGAGTTGATTGCTGACGAAATCTTAGCATGGATACAGAAGGCTAGTTTCGCATATGCCAGTTTACACCATCTCTGGCATAAACGTGATATCCGGCTGGTTGTCTACCAAAGGGCGTGTGTACTGCTCAGCAATCCGCTCCGTCCTCCTTTATGGCTGTGAGCCAGACATGGCCATTGAGAGTGGAAGACGTAAAAAGCCTAGCTAGCTGTCTGTGATCATAGAGGCCTGCGTTCTATCTCCCGTTAGACATGGTATAATAGGGTGAGCAATATTGAGTTTAGGCGTCGAGTGCTAGGTAAGGAGTGGAAATCAGTCGACGAGGTTGTGAAGCTACATCGATTGAGATGGTTAGGGCATGTGTTACGTATGCCTAGCCTAGCCATCGCATTCCTCGATGGGCGATGTTAGCTGACATAGGATGGATCAGGTTGAAAAAGAGTTAGCTAGTGTTGGTCAGACCAGTAAATGAAATACACAACAGTTAGATTAAGCCAGCCACTTAGGAAGGTGCAGACTTCCTAGTTGGGGTCCTCGGGACGGTAAACACCAATGGTTGGAAACAACTGGTAATATGGCTCAAAATCGTTGTCAATGGCTGGTGCAGATGCATGCACTCCTTGTGACTTATAATATCCAATAAAACTATGTTGTTCTTCGATATTACTATTCTTTCTGCCTCATATCTCTGTTTACTGTCTCTATTTTGCGTTTCTTTTTACTTTCTTCTTCTTCTCTGGCTTTGTGTGCTGAGTGAAGTGTGGCGACTCGAACTGCTGCACATCGGTGCAAAGTTCTGTGTTGAAACCACTCAGTCAGTCAGTCTACACCAACCAGTGTAATTCTAAAACTATCTTGAGTAGCCTCACATCACACATGTTGTTGACCAGCATATTTTTTAGTATGAACAATCTCACTCTCTCCATTTATCTCAGACAGTAGCGTCAATCAAATACACATTCAAGACTTAGATGACTGAGAAACAACTACTCAGAACTGAGAAGCATCGATATGGTCGTCCATTCAAATATTATTACCGATCATAAGTCAACTGAAATAAAACTGATAGAAAGGGCATTTTTGTGCAAGAAAAACCTTACAACAGTGAATTTATGTAGATGAAACTACTACACTCTTAATGTCTGAAAAGGTATTCTGTTTATGAATGTTTTAGCGCTTTTCCCTTGTATTTATAAAACGTAATCTAGTAATTTGATGACTATACTTCATCAGGCTTTTATCAACCACATTATTTTAAGAAAAAGAGGTTAACATCTAAGAGAATTTTTTTTAACGATTCATTTCCATAAGCTGTGCAATCGTAATGATATATATATATAAGACCAATCAGATACTGGTAAAATTTGTCCTCGAAAAGGTATTACATAATGTAAGGTGTAATCTAGAAGGGATGACTAGTTTGAAAATAGAAAAGGGGCAGAAGTTGGCATGACTTAATAAGTGTTAGACAATGATTAATCAATATAACTGTGTAGAGTGGACAAGAACTGGATGAAAGACGATGAAGTGTTTTTTATAAAATCTGTATGAAAATGTAATGTTATTAATAAACAGTAACCGAGTGATAATACATCTTTTTCTTATGACTCCGTATGTGAATATTTCGTACATTAATTAAAGCCTATGAATTGTAAACTCGCGATTTGTTTGTCACTGCTGAAGAAAATTCTTCTTTTTCTGCTGAAGAACTCCCCCATCCATTATAGTATAATAACAAATTTTATCAGTCACTATCCAGCGGTTAGTTTAGACTTGTAATACAAACCCAGTGCGCATAAAACCAGCCCTAAACAGCTCTGACTTAAAGCTTCCGTGTTTTGGTACTGGGCAGTTCACCGGAAAATGATTTCTACATGGCTTTAAATATACCTATTTTATGCTCAAAGGTAAAAAAAACTAAAATTGGAGCATACTTTGTAACCAGTAATTATATTTTCATCTTCAGGTCCTTACTGTCGACACGTGAATTCATCCGTTTACCTTCAAAATAAAACATCTTAATTCTGTTATTAAGAGAAAAACGAGCTGTTACGAAACTATTCAAACTGCAGATCTTTACACGTCATATTAGAAATCATCATTTATGACGACCCCATACATTTTTTATTTTCTTATTTATTTTATTCTTTTATGTTCCCAGTGGAACATAGGGCTCCAAACTAGAGCTTTGAAGTTTCGGTAGCATTGGTGTTTATTTTTACGGAGTGGGGCTACTAACCTCATTCCCAACCTTTTCTCTTTTCCTAGTCTTATTACTACCTTAGCGTGGTAAAGAAGTGCGCCGGCCAGGGATCGATCCACAGACTACATGCGTGTTAGGCAAGCATTCTACCGTTGTGCCACCGAACCCATACAATGATTCTGGTTACTTTCAAAATTGATGTTGCAAAAATGATAATAAAAATAATAGCAAGGGAAGGATATTTCTACTGAAATTAACTTTGTCTGTCTATAAACTTGACTCCACTTTTATTTTATTTCATTTTTATTTTTGATTACAGCTTGATTCCACACCGTATTTTTGGTACAAGTATGAAATTTTCAGCATGTAATATCAATAGCCCAAATTTTGCAGGCCGACCATAGATATCAGGTGTGCGTCGGCAGGGAGTCAAACCTCGGACTATGTGCATGGTCGGCGAGAGTCCTAACCGCTGTGCAACCAACGCACACTATTGTATAAATTTCTAACCCACTAACGCAGCATTTATGAAGTATTGAAAGGTGACGATTTGTATCTGTGGCAGTCTAAGTCACCACTTAAAACAGCATAATGTAGGCACAAAAGACTCTTGAAAGAACTTTACCAAATGAAGAATAGATGTGTATTTTTCAAAAGTATCTCTTGTAAGTCAGTACTGATGCAAGATGTGAAAATCTTGATAGTGATAAACTTAGGTTACAGTATTCTCTGATCCTCATCGGTAAGAAGTCAGATCTTGTCAAAGCTGATTTTCAGCTTCATAAGTGAATTTTTTGTATGAGTAAATTGTAATCAAAGATTATAAACATCTGGTACATAGACTGGATATATATTCATCAACTGGTGAACTCATTTTTATGTAAATAAGAATTCATATTTTTAACTATCTGTGATCTACAGCCTGTTGAAATATTAAAATCATAAATGAAAACTTAAATCATTCGGTTATTTTGCTTACTCACAATTATACTGTTGATCCGAACCAGTAATAGACAAATCAGTCAGCGCCAGCCGTAATAAACGTGTTTCATGCAAGAATTCTTGGAATTCTGATGTTGACTCCATTTTTACTGAGAATAAATCTTCAGTGGTAGTTAAAAAGGTGTATAAATCCCGCTGATTTTCACACCATTTAACAGGCATACATTTAATAAACTGTAAAGGTAAATAAGTTTGTACTGTAAGCTTACTTTTAATGCAGAGGAAATAATACGACAGTCGGTACATTAAGTAACATACTGAACTACAAGTAAAATGTCCTTATATTTAAATAATCCCAACTAATATACTGATCAGAGACTTGGCGCGTCATAAAGAGCATCTCAAACAAACTACAGACCTTCATTCACAGTTGTCTTTGCTCAATACTCAAGATCAGATGGCCAGAAAAGATCAGCAACAGAGATCTCTGGGAGCTAACCAACTCAGCAGGAACCAATTGTGAAACAAATAGGCAGGAAGAAATGGAGATGGATTAGTCATACTCTGAGGAAACGATCAAGTGACATCACATGCCAGGCCATCATTCGAGTGGAACTCGAATGGAAAGTGGCGAGTTGGTAGTCAGTGCGAGAGTGGAATGACATGGAGGAGGTGATGTGAAGAGGATATGATAGCATGTGAGAAGACGTGGAGCCAGATGAAAACGTTGGCAGAGAACCGAACGCAATGGAGACGTGTGGCTGAAGCCCTATGTTCCTCTAGGAATTAAAGGAAACAATAATAATAACTAATATCAACTGAAGCGCTGTACAGAGGTTTTGCTACTGATTCTGGGACTCCAGAAATTTGTCTTCAGAACTGCCCTGTTTCCAGCCCAAGAGAATAACACTCACATGGAATTTGTTGGTTCATGAACTCAAATTCCCGCCAACATGAAACACCACAGCCTCCCCAGCCAGTTTCATCAATGAGTATTGGCTCTCAAAATCAACCTAATAGACGCAAATGATCACGATGTTTTGTTTAAAACCCCAGGAAAGCCATATCAGACGAAGTCACTAAACAATTGTAGATTGAAATTAAGTTTCTATGGATATTAATTCTCAAAAAAACTGACCTTAAAGTCAATCGATTCGTCACGAACTTTATCGCCTAACTTGAACTCACTGTTCATTAGTGACAAACTTCAAGATAAACATCGTGAGACAGCTGTTCAGCATCCTATGCTTTTCATTGGATTTTTCTAGCAACGTCGGTTGCTAATGAAAACTACTGTGGTGAGAGCTGACTGCTAGACAAAGTTGGTAGACAGTAATTGACGTCAATGTTTATTTCCCAAATATTGGTGGTGAGAAAATGAGAACAAGGGCTTTGCGTAGGCGGACACAGTTAGCATATGGATTATCTGACACAGCCACAAAGAGATGCAAGGTTAACTTTCCGTGAGAAACAACCAATCAAAAGACTGTATTTTCTACTAACAATAATCTACAATAATGTACATTAAAATCTATAAATATGTGTTGATTTTCCTTAATAAACGATCTGTTGCCTGACCCTTGTCTTCTGTTGTTACACTACTCCTTAACAAAGTTCTCATTAGAGAATTTTTTAATTAATACTCATAATTATCAGGGCTACACACTTGTATCCTGTTAACGTAATATAAGTAGAAATGTTTCAAAATGAAAACTCACATTCAGAGTATTCCACAGGGTGAACACTTTCGTTAGAAACTTTAATAGAACCTTTTCAATTATACTGTCATCAAATAACCATGCATCATATAGTGTGCATTGCATGTCATTCAGAGAAGTTTGAAATTTTTCATCTGTTTCAGTGGATAGCATACAAATTTCTGGTATATTTACTTGTTTTAACCATTTAGAATGTTTTCGTGTTGCATTACTCTCTTTCTGGTTATTCAAATTGATTTTCTGTTTAGATTTTTGTTTGTTGAATAAGCGACAAAAAAATGGTGGCTTCTTATTTTTATCAGTAGTAGCAGTAGCAACAGCAGTAGCAGAGACGGAATTAGTAGTAGTATTCAACTGAATCGGTGACTTCCAGTTCACCTGTGAAGTAGAATAACCCTCGTCATGGTTTACCACAATGTCACTGAGCCACCTACTATCACTTAACCTTTTTTGAGGGTAAACTTCATCTTCTGTCGTTACCGTTATCTGCGATATGTAAAAAAAGTATGCGGTGTAGGAAAGAATTAAATTTGATGAATATAACACTTCCCTTTAACCGTGTTAACCTGAGGTACTGAATTAGTGTTGGCAGATGAGGATGATAAGTACCCGGTTTGAGTTTTCATGGCGATGAGATAATATACTGAAGTGATGAGCTTAAAAGTAAAAGTAGGGTGTACTATGAACTCCACTGTTAGTTCTTACTAATTCAGATTTATTTAAGATTTTAATAAATAGTTTATTTATCAAGTATTAGCTTGTAGGGATCAGATGCCTACTAGCAGCTGGCCTAATTCAGGCAGTTACCTGGGGTTCTGTTGGGAAGCCGTGACCAGGAGGGTACAGCAGGTCGAAGATGAGGACAGTTACTCATTGAAGAAGACATTGAGAAGTGGTCGTGCTATATCGTGAATTAGCAGAAGTTAGAATTCATGGGCTGGCTATTCAATCGGGTCCCAGTAGCTTAATGGTCTACGAGCTCGCTAGCCTTGCAACCAGAAGGTCATGGGTTCGAACCTCTGTGGCGGATGCGTACTGATGAAGAGTCCTAAACTAGGCTGAAGAAACAGCTGTCGAGTTCTTACTGGTGGTTTTCCAATGGTTCTGTAACTGATGTCAGCTGATGATGAAATCCTCCAACCGATAGTTTATTTGTTTAATAGTGATGTTAATTTCTGATAATTATTTTACTACTTAAGGTTGACGTGACAGATAGATAAATGTTGAATGTTCCTCTATGGCTGCATTTTTACTGCCATTGACCTCCGGTTATATGTAAAACGCTTCAAAAATCACATTTCATAAAGTGTTCCCGTAAAGCTGATTGGCAAAAGCTTATGAAAATGACTTTGACTTAATTAGATTCTAATGTGACAGTAAAGCCGAAATAAAGATTAATATTCAGGTACGTTAAAAACTAAGGTAGAGTATTCTTATTCCAATATTTTGGTTTGTACTACATTGGGCATCTTCAGGTCCTAATAGATCAGTCAGTATAAATTAGCTACTAATATTACCAGTTAACTTTTGTGTTATTTCTTCAAAGCAAACCATTCCAGTCACAATCCAATTGACTATTTTGAAATTTTATGACATCCTGCGTAAACACTAAGTGAATATTTTTATGGATCAGAGAGACTAGCCATAGGTATACGAAGAACATTCCATTGAGCAAGTCCATATTTGTTTTTCTGCAGTCGACGTATGACTAGGACTCAGATGGATGGTAGGCTAGATAGTTTTGCCACATCCTTGTGGATTTATCACTTCAACTGTTCCTGTGAAGATAGTTATGTTTAGATTCATACCAAACTGCCTATTCAACATGTTACAGAACATCGCCCGTCGTGGTTTGGTAAGAGATAGACAAAACCATTCAGAGCTCCATTTAGTCACGTTTGGTGGATGGTGGTCATTTGGTGTTGAAAACAAAAGTATTGAAGGTTATTCATCGCATCCCACCGAAGTTTTCCGATGTACTGAGTGTTCTTCTACTGCAAATAATCAAGGAGATGGGTATCCAAACTATTAAGCCCAAAGTATGCATTCATATGACGTTCGTAAAACCTTTATGACTCCCTTGGCTAATTAAAACCTGACTAACTGACAATTTCACCACTACCCCTTGTTTATAATTTTAACCTCTTTCTTATCATCCATTTATGTCATTACATCTTCATTAAAACATGGTTTGTCTACTTACCCCACAATCTAACATTACTTAGTCAGACTATTTGTTTTTCTTAGTCCTTATATACTACTTCTACCCAAAGATTTGTTTGTTCTATCATTGTGTTTTTATAGACTACTCAATAGTGGCAAGTCATAACGTCTCAAGTTTGTCAAGTAAGGTATAACTGAAGTCGCTCACATTATCAAACAACGCGTTAGTGAAATGTGAAGTTTAGTCAGCTTGAGCCATACTTATAAGTTTAAACTAATATATACTAAGTGCTCAGCCTAGGCTCACTTTACTTTGATTGAAGCTAAGTAGTGACCAATGTCAAGCGTCTAGTCCACCTTTTGGTGCCATGTGCCCACCATGCTAGGTGGCTAGCCATCACTGTGTATCCTGAATCGTTGTTAGGTGGTTAGACGCAGTCGGCGGAAAGCCTTAGGCTTTATTGTCTGTTTGGTTAGGTCAGTGACTGTATACTAATAAGACGTCTCAAAAGTAAAATAAATAGATTGCCGAAATTCAGTGAGTCTTAATAATTACTAGAATAGTATCACAGTCTGATTTGCATAGAAATATTTAGATAATTTAGGATAATATGTGCTGCATATAAATGCACAGATTGATTTGTTTTATTGCGCATTTCATCGACTGAAATACTAGATTAATTTGCTGACTAATCTCACTCTCACTTCAATCACCAATCAGCAAAAATTATTGTACAAAATTAAACTGAAAGCGGCTGGACTGTAATAAAATCCTATTCAATGTCTTAGGCTTATAACACAACTGGTGCAACAGCTGAACCACAACCCACAAATTACCAATACTAATTGTGGAAATAAAAATAGTGGCAGAACTTAATTAACAACATCGTTGCCAAAACCACTGAATATAGTAGTGCATACCTAATAAAGTAAATTGTTCGATGTTGTCTCTGCCTTATCATCTCATTTTTACCTCTTCTTAAACAAATTAGTCCTAAAGATGCTAACAGCTTGGTATTGAAATGTTTAATTTGATTTTTTTAATTTTGATTATAGCCTCATTCCACACAGTACTTTCGGTACAAATACGGAATTTTCAGCATGTGATATCGATAGCCCAAATTTTGCAGGCCGACCACTGACGTCAGGTGTGCGTCGGTAGGGGATCGAACCCGTAACTATATGCATGGTCGGCGAGGGTCCTAACCTCTGTGCCACTGACGCACATGTTCATGTAAAATAATAAAACTCTTAGAATACCAAATAACTTCCAAAGAAATAATTTAATTCTGAGTCATGAATTTTCCCTATTATTTGGTAAAGTGTTCAAAATTTCGATGGTATTATCAGAGCTCTCAGAACCTTGTAACTTGTGAAAACCTATTCATGCCAGAAAGCAGGAACAACTTAGCGTTTTAATGGCTTAACTTGAAGCCAAATATCTACACAAAACGTAGAAGTACAACTTAGCCACTTTACTAATTATTCAGGTAGTATTATTTACTGCATTACAGCACAAAATAATAATTACACGCGTATACTCGGTATTGGTGTTGTATTCTCTGAGGTTAATGTTTTAATTGTAAAGCTTTCATTTTCCTTCTGAAGAAACTCTTCAATGCTAAGTTCAAACTAAAGTTGGCTTTCGAAATCCCTCATGAAGTCTTCCTTGATAACTCTGATTTTTTAAATTTCGTCCTAATATGTGCCATGTCTAATAAACATGCAAAATAATGCCCTAGTATTCAGTGGTGTTGGCAATAAACCAACCAAGAGCTGATTGCTCAACAAATATTTAGAAGAAAATAGAGACAGATCGGGCCAGGAGATGAGACATCATTGTTAATCATGAACCCAGCTGAAGAGGACAGCAGAAAATGGAAGGAAGCGGAGGTGTGTCACTGAAGCCTTACGTACCTCTCGGAATCCGAGGGAAGAATAATAATTCAGTGGTGTATTAAATACTTCCGACAAAACTCCCAGTACATGATGCTTTTCTAAGGATTCAAATAATTCAGAAGTCCAGAAGTTAAAAATATCATCAAAACTAAATATTTCACGTAAGCCACTCCACAGTTGCCTTTTTCTCCTTAATCTTTTTCTTTGCTGACTGGTTTTCTTAGTTTCATCCACTATGAACAAATATCTCTTTTACTCAACTCACTTCAATAACCATTTATATTTTCGCGCAGTTTGCTATGAGGCACACCTACTGTGTAAGGGCTGATGATACCACCAGCTGTCTGCCCAAACCTCCTGCCCACCAGTGATCATTAAAAGCTCATTTTTTATAAGTGAGTGGTAAGTCAAATGGACGCACAACACGATTTTGGTTTTATTCATCTGATAACCAGGAAGACACTTTGTGAGGTAAAGCATAAAAAATTAAATCCTTCTTTGTTGAACATTCAAAAGTGATTGGATTCCTAAAGAAATGTACCTTATTTCACTGTCTTGTCTCTTGATTTCAATGCTGCAGTATACATCTACTAAGTTAGTTATGATTCCATTTTGAATCTGATGAAAGTTTCGCTCAAATAGTGAACTTTAAAAAGTAGAGCTGTCTTCCTGAACCTCTGAATACAAATTGCACTTCTAGTTACGTTGATGTATTCGTAGTAAAGATTGGATACTAAGTTATTTAGATCTAAACTTAAGCTCCACAAACGTTACAACTATACGACACAAACTCTTGCGATTTTATAAAGTGTAAAGTAGTTTTAGTTTAGTTCGCGTCCTCAACTTTTTTCTTATACCTTACGTTCTGAAGGGAACGTAGGGATTCAATCTACAAGCATTGATTTTTAATAATTGTAGTGTCATTTTTACAGAGTGAGATTGCTAGCCTCACATCCAACCTTCCTTCTTTTCTGGAATTGCTACCAACTAGACGAAATTTATGAATGTCGGCGAGGAGTCAGATCCATACCTCTAGATTGGCCATTGAACATTTTGCCCTGAAATTTCCTACTGTTTCAATGCAGAACTGTCTAAATGATCACTTAATCGATAGCGCAAGTGGCAAAGATTCCCTGCCGAACGATTTTTCCCTCGTTCTAAACAACGAAAGAATACAATAGATAATATTTAGTCAGATATTGGCTTGTAGTTTGGAACATTTTTAGTAAATAATATGAAAAATTAATTGCTTTATGCTTGATACCTCTTTGTTGAAATAAATACAGAAATAGATGAACATCAAAAGGAGTGAAAAAGCAGAACAACTTACTTCATGTAACCGACAATTGCACAGTAATTTAGCCTTTTCTGGTGGTAATTTGGAATTCTTAGAAAGTGAAACTATATGTGATTGTATTCCGACCAGTTGATCAATTTTATACCAACACGATAAATAATGATTACGACTATTCTAAAAGATTAAGTATATATGAATACATATGTATATGACAATCGGTCACGCTGTCAAGAAGTATCCAGTAGAGAAAAAAAACGAATTTTGCAAATGATATTCAGTAATCAAGAATTCTAACCAAGCACATCTGTCGAACATGCGCATTTATTGAGGTACTTTTAACTTTAGCTGACCTTTTATTGTCAGCTGACAAGTAGTATAAGGATAAGCCTTAAAAAGTAGTAAAATTTTCACATTAAAACGTTTATGCGTCACTAGCTTAATGGTTGAATGCTCGCCGACCACTCAGATGGTTCGGGGTTCGTTCCCCAGTCGACACACTCCTTTACCTCGCTAAGCTAGTGATAAGACTGATAAAGAGGGAAGGATGGGCATGAGGCTAGCAACCCCATCCCGCACCATTGCTACCGAAACTTCAGAGTTCTAGCTTGAAGCCCTATGTACCACTGGGAACGTGAAGGAACAAAAAATAACATGTTTGAGAAATTTAGGTTCAGACACTTTTAATGTGATACACTTACATGAAAACAAACATATAAATAATCCACTAACAAGAATACACCAGTCTCATGACTCGGCGATTCAGCGGTTTAACACTTGCCAATCACTCACGTGGCCTGGGGTTCGATTCCCAGACAACGTACGGCAAACCTATCCTAGTTGACTAGCCGGTAGTAAGACGATTATAAGAGAGGAGGTGGAGTGTCAGACTAGCGATCGCAACCCCCGAAATAAACACTACTGCGGCTTAAATATTAAAGCTCAATTTCGAAGCTCTGTTTTCCACTCAGAAAGCTAAGGAATGAAAAAAAGTTATCAGTGTCAGTTATACATCTGGAAACAACTCGATGGTTTTAGTGAGATGTGTTGTCCCGTGAACAAGTTCGCTATTGTTGAAATTTATCAATTTTTCTAAAAAAATAATTCCTTAGTACTTTAGAGACTTAAACCTTCTTATTCTTGAAGTAATTCGGTTGGTGGGAATCCAGGATGCCCTTTTTTCTTCGTATTTACGACTTATCAGCTGGATGTACTTGCATTTCCTAGTGAATGATGGTTTACCCTTTGAGGCTTAAACCCAGTACCCATTGCTTGGGTTTTTTAATATTATTATCGCTGAACAGAATGATCGTCTGTTCGCAATCTTTAGAACGTTTTGCGACTGTGTGTGTCTCAACGAAATTCTGTCAGCTATACAGTAAAACACAGAGATTAGTCCCCTGAGTTCAGACCACATCGAGTCACTTTTGGTCATAACATATGAAGTCATTATATTGCTTATTGTGTCTGAACACCAGCTACAAAGAAGTGTAATTTAGTCAGTCACAGTCATACACCTGCTTATGAAATATAGTCAGATATGAGGATACAGACTTGTAGAAAAACATGTACATAGAACGAATTCTATCTTATTTTTCGTGCTTTTCTTTACCTGAATAGTCTGAATAGAAATTCATAACATTTCTATCGCCCTATTTTCTGCCTACCTAAGAAAAACAAAATTCTAAGAGAGGCCGGATGAAATTAAAGCGTTATCTACTTTTGGTTAGTTGTTAGCTGAGCACAAGATGTCTACCACTTTCAGAAGAGTATTTTAATGACATAGGCGAATAAATAGTGGTAATGTTGGGGTCATTCTCAATCAACTAAAGTTAATGAGATCTGAATATACATATTATTATTGTTTCCTTTAATTCTTAAAGGAACATTGGGCTTCAGCCGTGCGTCTCCATTGCGTTCGGTTCTCTGCTAGAGTCTTCACCTGGCTCCATGTCTGCCCATACGTTTTCATCTCCTCTTCACATGACCTCCTCCAAGTCACCCTTGCACTGACAACCAACTCGCCGCTTCCCTTTCGGGTTCCACTCGAGCAATGGCTTGTCTAGTGATGTACACATATTCTGTCTTAATTAAGATTATACTGGAAAAATGATAATCACATCAATGATTATTCATTCTGACCATTAGTGAATTCAGTTTTAAAGCAATTAGTTCCCTTTGTGAATTTCGACAACACAATAAGAAGACGTAGTTTATCTGAAACGTGTAATGTATTGGCGCAACACATTTCGGACATTCTCATCACTCACGCACTTGTCATACATAGTTTTTATAGAAGGCTAGAAGGCATGAATAATTACAATACAGGTCAGGTTGTGTACAGGTCAGGGTCACCAATAATGGGTAGGGGGACGCAAAAGGTGTGGGTAAGAAAGAGGAAAAGAGAAAAACAAGGCAAAGAAGCGGTTGAAAATATTATGAAGTAAATTGGACCTTGGTTCGAAATCGGATTACCAAGGCAGGTTTAAGGTGATAACAAATAACTTTTGGACACATAGGACAGGTTTAAGACCCTTTATGGCTAAGGCTTCAAAAAATTTAAGTATGTGGCCCAACCTTGTTTTATATATCGGCTTAAAGGCATTGTTGAGATCAACCTTATGACCTGTCTCTATAATGTGCTTCGCTATAGATGATTCTGGACATCTATTTCCGGGGTCAATTGTGTCTGGCGATTTCATTTCAGTTTTAGCTTGAAAGTGATATGTCAGGGAATGATGTGCATTTCATTCTATTTGTCAATAACCATCGCTTCAAACTATAAATTTTTGTTTGCTAAGCTACAGAACTACAGGAATCGATTATTTATGCAAAGAGTATCATTTACTTTTATTTCTCTATACCTTAAACATCAAGTTGTTTTGCATGATTTGAATTTAACTATTCAAAAGAAGCAGGAGTAAACAGTGGAGAAAATTTTCTGTCCGACGATTCAATTTCATGAGCTGTACAATCGTAATTATATTAAACAAAGAAATCTCTAGGCCAATCAGATACTCGCAAGCTTTCTCCTCAAAAAATGTATTACATAATGTAAGGTGTAAGAAGGGATGATTAGTTGTAAGTTAGAAAAGAGGCAGAAGTTGGTATGTCGTAATAAGTGTGAGATAATAACTAATCAATAAGCTCGTGTAAAATGGACAGGAACTAGTGGAAAGGCGATAAAGTGTTTTTATATATAATCTGTATGAAAAAGCAATGTTATGATAGAGTGGCAATAAAATATGGATGATGGCAATAATAATGATAATAAAATAATGATAACAATAATAAAAGTAAACTTACATAATAAAGAAGAAAGGAGCAAAATTATAGTAAGAACTTTACTCTGGCCACGGTAGGATTAGTGAATGCATGCATCGCTTTTAAATGTCATCTCCGGACATCTAGCATCTCTGCATGAATGCTTCACAGTGCTACACAGAGTACCTCAATATCGTTCAAAGGGACTTTGTATACGTCATCTGCACATAGGTGAGGCATTAGCTATTCAAGATCTGAAACCGAACCTCTGCATTTAAAAGCGATACATACATTCACTAATCCTACCGTGGCCAGAGTAAAGTTCTTACTATAATTTTGCTCCTTTCTTCTTTATTATGTAAGTTTACTTTTATTATTGTTATCATTATTTTATTATCATTATTATTGCCATCATCCATATTTTATTGCCACTCTATCATAACATTGCTTTTTCATACAGATTATATATAAAAACACTTTATCGCCTTTCCACTAGTTCCTGTCCATTCTAAACGAGCTTATTGATTAGTTATTATCTCACACTTATTACGTCATACCAACTTCTGCCCCTTTCCTAACTTACAACTAATCATCCCTTCTTACACCTTACATTATGTAATACATTTTTTGAGGAGAAAGCCTGCGAGTATCTGATTGGCCTAGAGATTTCTTTGTTTAATATAAATACAATTGTACAGCTCATGAAATTGAATCGTCGAAAAGAAAATTTTCTTTGCTGTTTACGCCTTTTTCTTATGAGTCACGATGGGAATATTTCGTTGATTAACTATTTATCACGAGATATTTTTTAGGGATCTGATATGTTTCACATTCGATAAGGGATTGATGTCAGTTAGAGAGCCACTGGAAATCGCAGAGTACTGGACACCTATATATCATCATAATTTTGAACTCTTCAACATTAAACAAACACGATTCCCCCCCACATGGATCAAATCAAAGACCTACAGGCTACAAGGCGAACTCACATACCATATAAGCCACTAAGACGAAATCCAGTGACCCATCAATTCTAACTCTTTTGTCAATTAGCAATTTTAACGGCACCACAAGCCAAAGTTCCTGACGAGTACTTGTCTTCACATCCGGCCTGATGTGCCTCACTGCTCACGACTTCTTAGCAGAAATCCAGACAACTTCGTCCTTTAATCAGCCAGTAATGAGAATCACATTAATTTTCAAGAGTTAGTTTGTAGAGATTTGATTTATTTCAAGATTTATCAAGAATTGATCATTTCGTGAAGGATTTCATCATGAGCTGATATCAGTTGCAGAACCACTGGAAAACCTGGGAGTACTGAAAAGCTGTTTCATCCCAATTCAGGACTCTTCATCTGTACGCACCCACCGACAGGGTTAGAACCCAGGACCTTCTGGATACAGGGCGAGCTCGTAGACCATTCAGCCAATGGTACCCTATCCAATGACCAGCCCAAGAATTCTAAGTTCTGTCAATTCACGAAATAGCGCAACCACTTCGCAATGTCTTCTTCTGTGAGTTACTGCCTCATCTTCAACCTGCTGTATCCTACTGCTCACGGCTTCTTATTAGAACCCCAGGTTAACTGCCTGAATAGAGCCAGTCACTAGTGAGCATCAGATTAATTTTCAAGTATTGGTCCTGTCCATGGGTGCGTACTGCTGAAGAGTCTCGAAGTAGGACGAAACAGGTGTCCAGTACTCCCCGTTGGTTTCTCAATGGTTCTCTAACTGACGTCAGCTCATAATGAAATCCTCCATGCAATCAAACAAAATCCCTACAAAACCAATACTTCAAAATTGATCATTTATTTATTTTCATATGAATTTATGTCATATATAATTTAATATGCTTCCAAGTTCTATTTTAGATGACCATCAACACTAAGAACTTACTGGTTACATATAGATCTCTCTGACAAACCTCAAATAAAATAAAATATGTGTTGTGTATGGAAGTGTTATTTAACTATTTATTCTCAAGAGTTGGTTTGTGAGGATTAGTTTTTTTTGAGTTTGCCCACGCATTGATATCAGTTAGATAAACCGTTGAGAACCAGGGAGTACTTGAGTCGGGTTCCATTAACTGAATGGTATACGAGCTTAATTTGTAGCTACAAGGTCCTGGGTTCAAAACCCAGTCGGTGCGTACTGCCGACGATTCCCAAACTAGGCTGAAACAGCTGTCCAGTACTTCCCAAGGATTTTCACTGGTCCTCTAACTATTTATTGTACAAAACAGGTAGCAATATAAAACAAGGTCATATAAAGGACATCTATTCAAATAAACCAGACCAGACACTTTCATCCAGCAAAAACAAACACAAATAACAGTTCTAAGTATAAGAGAAATCCTAAAACCGGAACTCCAAGGTGAAAAATATTTCAAAAAGGGTGGCTAACTCTTTGAAATCCGCAGATAAAAATCCTCAACAGTGTTATGAGTTAACTAGTTAGACAAGTCAATGGGAAACTGTCTTATATCAAACTGTCTTTATGTTATTCCACCATTTTCAGCCATCTAGTTAGGTTAAAAAATGAGAATTCAACTCAGCTTTTTACACCGCTTTACACATTTGTCGGTGTCATAAGAAAATTTTAATTACTTTCGCCACAAATATGATCAGTCAATGGATAATTAGTACTTTTTCATCTATGTGTAGAAACATGTTTCACTTAAAATATATTTCCTTACCTGTATTAAACCAGATATTTCCAATGCTTCTTCATATGTCCCTGAAAATTCCCTTTCTCTCCAGCTAATATTCATTTCGCTTGACCATGAGTGCAGTACACTGCGTAGTTCATGTAATGAGTGATGTGCCTGTTTTTTAAGAAAAATCCAAAAACAAAAATCAAAGGCAAACAGTTAGATAATTATATAAATTACATAGAAATAATGCATTATTGTTAACTCCTAAATAAGAAAATAAGTCATCAAGAGTTAAGCCTATAGGGACTTGATTTGTCCTAAGTATGATTACGAACTGATATCAATTAGAGAACCACTGAAAATCAGGGAGTACTGGACAGTTGTTTCGTTCTAGTTTAAGAATCCTCAGAAGTAAATGCCCACGACCCTACCAGGCATCGAACTCCAGGTTGTGAGACCAAGTCCGTTAACTATTAAGCTACTTGGACTCGTAACCTGGGGTTCCTGGGGTCAATCCCTGGTGGAGTCGTGTGTGCTTTCGCATATTTTTAAAATTTTTCTAACCTGTCACTTTGAGTCATCTTCAAAAATTAAGGAAAAACATCACAGTGGCTGGCAGCGGGCATTAAAACGTACAGAAATTAATCGTATGACCATCCCCTAAGTTGTTAGTACTAACTTCAGGTCTCTGTCTAACAAATTGGACTATCCCCAATCTCTAATATCCTCAAATGTGTATCAAAATGCTGGTGTTCCATCAGGAATATGATGACAATCAAATCTCATTAAATCAATATAAAATTTTCCATCAGGACAGACATAGTTCAAAGAAAAAGCATAGCGGAGAGGCAGCCACTTTTATTAATACAAAGTGGTCTACAACTAATCATGTATGTTTTAGGTTTTTCAATGACAGTATAACCTGTATCAATGTTAGGTGTCGTCCAAAGCCCTTAAGCAAATATTCTTACATATACATAACAAATGTTTGTATGACTCCACACTACAGTTCCTCTGATACATTTACCTTCGCAGACGAATTTACTGAATTTGTTGCTCCTATTTTTCGAAATTCCTTCTCAATAGTCTGTGAGGATTTTAATTCTTACGATCACACCTTTCTCATATCACTTGGTCATGAAAACCCGGCCAAATTCAATACTCGTTTGGACAAAACACTAAACTTGGTTTTCATTAACTATCGCGACAAATAGGAGGTGCGAAGGACAGCTCCATTGCTGACTTATGCCCATTGCATTATTCGTATTTTACTGAAAGTGTGTAGCAAGTTACACAGAAGGGTCTTTGTTCACCCTACAAAGAAAATCCGGGAACGATCCTATTCACATGACAATATTTAAAGCATTAAGATGTATGTTGCATTAGACTGACTAGGACCTATTCTTTGATGAAGTGTCAGACGTTACTATCTCTAATATTACCCACTATCTCAAGTTCTGTTTGGACATTTGCTGTCCTACTGAAATACTGTTCAAGAGATTCGATAGGATCTCTTCTGCACAACTAAAAATCTCAGAAGAGAAAAAGTAAATTTGTATAAGTCTCAGGATTATGCTGGTGTTCGAAGAATAAACTCTTTGATAAAGTCTGAAATACAAGGCCTAAATGGGATGTATAATGAAAAAACTTTTATCATGTAAGAATGCTCCTAATATCTGGAAACTTTTTAATCAGCTTACCGACAGAAAACAAATTTCACTTAATGCTTATTCTGATGTTAATGCCTTAAATAGATCTTTTATAATGCAACAAGCTAATATGACTGGACCTGATGTTTCTAGTCACGTAAATGATCATTTTCCTGGTTCTAATGAAAAGGATGTATTAACATGTCTCAAATCCTTAAATCCATCACACAGCCTAGGTCCCGATGGTGTACCAAGCATTTTGCTTCAAAAGTGTACTGATATTTTGTGTTGCCCTCTTACTCAAATCTTTAATGCATCGTTTGACAGGGATACAGTACCTGTTGCCTGGAAAGAAACAAATGTGTTGCCTCTGACAAGGTCATCTTCTGGATCAGGTTTAAATTTTAGGCCAATCGCTAACAAGTCTCCATTTTCGAAAACTATAGAAGAACTTCTCTTGCATGTTCTTAAACCTTCTTTGAAGTCCTTTATTGATCCAAATAACTTTGCTTACAAATGCAGTTGAAGCGAATTAGATGCTGTTGTTGTACTCTACCACAATATTGATTCAAGTCTTGATAAGAATGCAAAGTTTGTTCGACCCTCCTTTATAGACTACACTGCTGCTTTTGACTCTGTTCCTAGAACACTTTTACTAAGCAAGATGATTTTAGCAAACACTGAATACTCAGTCACAAGGTGATCGTTTTCTTACTTTTCGGGTAGAAAACAATATACTTTTTTGAATGGAAAGCTCTCTACTTAGGTGCTAACGGAAACTGGTGTACCTTAAGTCACTGCACTTTCTCCAATCCTCTTCTCTTTCGTTTTGCATGACATTTCAGATTCTTCCAAAGCTAATTTCATTAAATATACCGCTGATCTAGCCATTTCTGTGTCAACAGTTTCTGCTTTGGACTGTTCTTATATAAATAGATTCCTATATGAAGTTAAAAAATGGTCTCACCTAAATGGCCTTAAACTGAATCCATCTAAATGTCATATTGATGATTTCAGTTTCAGATGCCAACAAGACTTGCGTGGACTGATTCAGTCACTTGATTCCTGTAATACTAACGGCACTGTGATAGGGAGTAAATTGAATATCTTTCATCTCAACATGCTAATTCACGACATAGCGTGACCACTTCTCATTGTCTTCTTCGATGAGTTACTGACTCACCTACTGTACCCTACTGGTCACGGCTTCCCACTAGAACCCCAGGTAACTCCCTGAACAGAGACAGTTGCTGGTAAGCATGAGACAGATTTTCAAGTGGGAAGCCGTGGCCAGTAGGGTACAGAAGGTTTCAGGTAAGGCAGTAACTGGTTGTGGGCACATACTGCTGAAGAGTCCCGAACGAGGACGAAACAGCTGTCAAGTACTCCCTAGGGTTTTTCCAATGGTTCTCTAATTGATGCAATCTGATGATGAAATCCTCCAGACAATCGATAAAAGGCAATATAAAGTCCTTCTCAGTCTTTTATTATTTCATAGAACAAAGATAATTCTTTTAAATATTCTTTTCACTTTAAATAAATTTCAGGTCATTACATCTCTAAATATGTTAATTTTACTACCTAGATAAATGTACAATACTATCCTATTCAGTGTTCAATTAATGTTTTAATTTAACCTCAAAATGAATCTTACTATTCAAAACTTGAAAATCTTAACCACTAAGACTTTTAGTCTGACGAACTTACCATCGTATAATTGCGTGCACATTGAATTTGTTCACTAAGACATTGATTAAATAAATGAATAGCACTCCATGTATTAACGAAATTTTCATTACAATCCTATTCAACGAGAAAGTTTTGATGCAAAAATAATTCATCCTCAAAATAAAACTCATCAAAATTCAAAAATTATATACATATTAAGCTACAATTTAAAGGTAACTGAATTATTTATCTGACGTCACAAAAGTTTCTTCTAGTAGACTGGTAAATATTTTCTTCTACGTTGCATCTTTTTTATCTTACCGCCTAGGACATTTCCCTTCACAGTCTCGACAATCAAGGAGTAAATGCATCTTATGATTGTCTTCCACACTGTATCAGAAATTTTTTTGTCAGTATATATATATATATATATGTAGGAGGATTAAATTCAATAGAATGACCAGGTAGTCTCGGAAAGTAAGTTATTACCTGGTAATGATGACGTCATATGAGTAAACAAAGTGTATTTAATATGCTATCTTTTAGCAATATCTTCCGCTAGGCACTTATTTATAATTAGATATAAAATCAATTATTTTAAATAATTCCAGTTAAAAATACTTGATAACTGTTTTACCTTTCTCCTACTTGACTAAAGAAAATTCTAGCGGCTTGCTTAAATCACTGAGCTACCAGTTTTTTTTTCCATCCATTAAAATGGATCATACATACTGCATTTCATATTATTTTAACTGCCAAACCGCATTCATGAGTCGAAACCTACTCTCAAGCACATTTTCAAAAGTGTTTCAACCTACTTCTAAGGAAGTTTTAAAAGAAATCGGAAGAAAATCTTCGTGGAGCAATGAAGCATTCTTTGAATGGAACAATATTGCTTCAAATGATGTATTACTGATTATTTTATTACTTGAAGACCTTGTAGAAGAAGTAAATATCTTACGGCAAACAGACTGAAAATGGTGCACTATGTTTAACACGAACTTTTAAGGATAAAGCCATTATTATTATTATAGTGATTACTTACTTACTTACTTACTTACTTACTTGATCTTCAACAATGACTCACTGATATAGGAAAAGAATTTGGACACTGTGGTTGAATACAATTCCAATATTAGAGTAGTTTTACATGATAAATACACAGTGATACAGTATTACTTACTGATATGAGTATGAACAATTAAGTGGGTTGGAAATGATATCAGTAAATAATACTAAATCACTGTTTTTATCAAAGAAAATTATTACTGAAAAGATTTTATCAAGTAATATGTTTTGTATACTATGTAAATTGAAAATTGGCTGTAGAAGGACTGAGAAATCATTTATTTATTTGTTGAATACTTAAAATGGAAATTATACAGATCGAAAATTCAAACCATTTAATAGTTCAGTATAAACTATAAATACCTCACACCTAAAACTCAGTAGTCATAATAAACTCCTCTAGATAAAGATTCAGTTTACAATTCATTTATCACTAGGAATTCGCCAAAAAGAGTCTCTAAGCTGAACGTCTTCCCTTTTTCATTTGACGTTGCAAGGACCCGGTGGCGGTGAAGGAGCTGGAGGGTTTCCTGCGTTACTTCGTCAAGCTTGTGGCAGTGAAGACAAAGACTGATTTCTTAAGAGGTTGTATATATCGACATGAGAACACAAAGATGTATTTGAAGTCACTCAGACGCAACCACGTCCAACCGAATACCAGAACATTCAAACGACACACACACACGAAACAACGTCGATTCCATTCAATCACGCATTCTCGAGCTAGAACGAAATGTCTACTCAAGAGCTCATGTAGTCGAAAACTTAGATCAAGAACTACGCCATTCTTTCAAAGAATATGTACAACAAGTCACTCAGAAAGAATGTAACAAGACCAAAGCAGATTTACTCAAAAGACTAAAGCCTACAACTAATACCGAGTCTCCGTTCCCAAGCAATCTATAAAAGTACTTATTCAATCTTTCAAATATCACACTGTCTACTATGCAACTAGAGGCACTATCTCTAGGTCAAAAATTCTGCGTAAAACCTTCAAGTGCTGACAAGCTACAATGCCAGGTTCAGTTCGAAAATCTGATAAACCAAACTTAAAATTTCACACCTGCATCAGATGAAAGCCTACAACAATTCAAAGCATCAATTTGCGACTGTTGTCACAAGTTTATAAACACCAAACCCAAAAGAAGGTCCATTTTAACAAAGAGATATTATAAGCAGCTGAAAGACTTATGAAAAATGAGGAGATTATGGTATCACATCCTGATAAAGGCGGAGGAATCGCAATCATGAATCGTGAGGACTACATCAGCAAAATGCTGACTATACTGTCCGGTGAATGCAAATTCACAAAACCTATCAACGAGAAAAATATGACTGAACAGACCGAACAAAAACCAACGGACACCTTCCGTAAACTAAAGACTGAATCTTTCATCAGCAATGAAACGTTCGAATCCCTAAGACCATCTGGCTCAAATATTCCATATTTAGCCAATGCAACTCGAAGGTGCGAATGGTTCGATCATGTACAAGTTCGAAAACGAAACAAATAAATTGTATAAACATATAATAGACTTGTAATTGTCTTTACTTTAATTGCCAAACAATATAACTTTCAAACTACTGGTTTTGGAGTTAAAGTCGAGAAAGTACATAGTAATTATCGGTTTGAAGCGTCTTCGTTACAATAGGAACATAGGGTTAAGTGCCTTATCAACGACTTTACGGACTACCGAAAGTACACAAGAAGGACACCCCTCTTCGACCGATCCTCGAAATGACCAGTTTGCCTTATCACCGTACACCCCAATGGTTAACAGACCTACCAGAAACAATCAGAAGACAAGTTTCTTGCCACGCAGTTCGAGATTCATTCAACTTTATCGACTCAGTCAAAAACGTCAACGCATCCAACAAGACCATGATTTCATTAGATGTCACGTCATTGTTCACTAACGTCCCACTGACTGAAACAATATGCTACATATGCGAACTTACCCAATCAAAGGGAATAAACATAGGTATACCCACTGAGATTCACGCTGAATGTTCAATTCTCTTTTAACAACCAAATATATCGACAAAAGGATGGTATAGCAATGGGCTCACCGCTAGGCCCATTGCTAGCAGATTTCTTCATGGCAAAACTAGAAAGCACGTGTATAGAGAAAATCATCGATACCTTCGAATTCTACAGAAGATACGTTGACGACACTTATTATTGTCAACAATGAAGAAAATCTAGACGACATCTTGAATTCCTGTAACGACTGCCACCCTAACATTCAGTTCACATTAGAGAAAGAGTCTAACTCCAAAATATCCTTTCTTGACGTTCAACTAACAAGGCGAGAACAAGACGGAACACTGAAAAGATCTATCTACAGAAAGTCGAAGTGGAACGGACAGCTTACTAACTTTCACAGTTGGGTTCCTGTATGCACCAAACGAAACCTGATCCGTTCACTCAGCTACAGAGTTCGCAGAATCTGCATCCTGGATACCATAGAAGACGAACTGGAAAATCTCAAGAGAATCCTCGTCGAGAATTGTTATCCAGAACGATTTATTGCAAAATCCATGAATCCTAGACCGCAAAAGCCGCCCACGCCTAGCGTCCTGAAAAAACTCCTCTACATGAACCTTCAATTCAATAGGTATTCATCTGCGGAAACATTGATAAATTGACTATCCCGTTCACTAAGGAAAACCTTCTTCGCAGCTGAACTACGATTAACCTTCTCCACAAAACCTGTGATTCGTATGAACTTGAAGGATAAGCTACCACTGTTGGCCTCATCAATGTGTATCTACCAATTCACCTGCTCGTGTAGAGCAAGGTATGTACCTAGCGTTCGCTATCCAAACGTATCACCGAACACTTACCAGAATGGTTTTACAAAGGAGAAAAACGATGCCCCCGCAGCTCTGTCTTAGAACATCTGTTAGGTTCCGGACACCAAGCTGCACCCCAAACAAACTTAAAAGTCGTCTACAGAATACGAAGCAGTTATCCTAAAAGTGTAAGAATCAGGCTTCTTCAAACTTCAGAAGCAATGGCAATTCACTTGCTAAGTCTTGAACTCTGCATACAAAAGAAGTTCGTTCATTCACTACACTTGCAATAGACGTAATCTACCTTAATACCCAACAGGTAAATTCTATTTCTTTCCGTCTCTTCATTAGTATTATTTTGTCTTTACAATTGTAATATTTTACATTTTCAACTTTCCTGTTCTCTGACCCTACCCAATTTAATTTCTTCACCTCATTACCACTGTTACTGACTTGAACAACGCCCAATTTCTAGTCGTTTATGTTGCATCTTCCAATTTATTCCCTCAATTTTAGTCCTAATTTAAATGATATTATTCTCTACCCCACCTCTACTTATTCTCTACCTGTAATTACTTCTGTTGCTACCCTGACCTAAGTTGAAACATTTTAGTCAATCATATTACGTCATCTAACTTGATAACTCAGTCTTACTTTAGTTGCTGTCTAATTAACCTTGTTTCTATATTAGATCATTCTCGTATTACCTAATTAATTATCTAGGTTTGACAAACCTCATGTACACAAACGTAAAAATAATTAATTATAAATGCGATTGTACAGCTGTGTGAATGAATACGCTGAACGTCTTCTCTTTTTCATATGAATCAATGGGGATTTTTAAGCTACTTGAAAGATAATGTTGTGAAGAATTGGATAAGTAATAATAACTTTATTCTGAACTATAAGTTCTTCATACAGAATCTTCAAATGAAATAGTAATCTACAGTATCTCCTTCCACAGAATCTTGTTTGATCTGAAACATGCTACAACCTCTGACGTGTTTTCCCCTTCAAAATAGACCATGTGGTTCAAAAATGCAAGTGAGTATAGACTGTTCTTCAACAACATAAACATAATTATGAACAAATATGTAATAAAGTTGATTTAAGTCAGTGCATATCGTCATGATAACCATTCATGTACAGATCTGTTTCATTTCTACAAGATTTGATAACCACTTAAACTACACCCCACTGGTTGACTAGTCACAGGGCTGACCTCGTATCCTACAGTTCTTGGATTCGATTCCTGGTGGCGTTTTTTGTGCACACTGGTGAACAGTTTCAAACAAGGAGGGAATAAGTGCGTTGTGCTTCTTCTTGCCTAACATAGAATTGCTAAGTGATGTTGTGTCATGATGAAATCAAATCTGAACATTTTATCATACACACATCAGAGTAGTCAGATGAACTGAGCTATCATCCCTTAAAACAGTTTGGCTAATACTATCACAGATAATACTTGTGTTCAGCTATTAAATCCAGCTTACGATTATCAACCGTTAAGCTGTAACAGCCAGAAAAAATATAAATTTTGAGAGACAAGTATATGTTTGTATCATAAAAGAACTTAAAATAATCCCAGTATGTTTACCAAATTTTGTTTTTGATTTCCTAAATAGTCTGGGATTATCTAGAGTACTCCTATTATGATTCATTCAAACTATACGCTGGACTTGCTCCAGGGTATTCGTAACAACTATAGTCGGAAAATTATTGTTTTTATAACTATGTATACAGTTGGTTTTTCGCTACATTTACTGCAGTTAGATAAGTCTATTGGAAACATTGGTGAAATAAGTCTCGGTTTTTCTGCAAACAATTCAACTTAAATCCTTAACAAGTAATAGATACTTGAATGGAGAAAATACCACACGTATAGAGAATGAGAAAATATTTTGACGAAAGAGATATATCACTACAAATAATAAGTACGTCTGTCTGTTATTTAAGTGTAATTCTGTCACCACTCCACTAATATGCACTAACAAGTTAGCTTGAATCGAAACGCTGTGTTTAGTGGACAATCTTGATTAACTGCTTTTTGTAGGCGCTGTATAAAGTCTACCTACATCAACTCATTTTATAGGGGTAATGGTGATTGGCAATATCCAACACCAACCACCATCAACAGGAGGGATTTGAAAGAGGTTACTTCTTTCACTTATCTAGGGAACATCGTCTCAACTACAGGAGGAACGGACAACGATGTCAAATCGAGAATCGAGAAGGCAAGAAACACATTCATCAACCTGAAACCAATCTGGAAATCTTCGTCACTCAGCATCAACAACAAAATTCGGATTTTCAATACAAACGACGTCAAGTCAGTTTTTCTATACGGATCAGAAACTTGGTGGGTCACAAAGAATATTTCCAACAGGCTGCAGACCTTTATCAACAACTGTATTCGTTCTATACTCAAGATCAGATGGCCGGAAAGAATCACCAACAAGAAACTATGGGAACAAACAAAACAAGAACCAATCGCCCAACTAATACGCAGGAGAAAGTGGAGATGGGTTGGACACTCGCTGAGGAGGCTGTTAGGTGACATCGCGCGTCAGGCCAGTGCTCGAGTGGAACCCGAAAGGGAAGCGGTGAGTGAGACGTCCCAGGGTGACATGGAGGAGATCGTGTGAAGAAGAGTTGAAACAGTATGGACTAACATGGATGCATGTGAAAAGTACAGCAGAAGACGGAAGCAAGTGGAAGCGTGCAGTTGAAGCCCTATGTTCCACTAGGAACCCAAAGGAACAATAATATATATAATGGGGGTAATCAGTGAAATGAATTGTCACTGACCTCCAAAGTGAATACCAGAATATGTTGACTCAAAACCACTGACTTCTCAAATGGTTAGATATTTTTAAAATGATAATCCGGGTATTACACTGTTTCAGTAACTGTAAAACTTTACAAGTAGGCTTTTTTTCCTACTACACACGATCAAACTGAGGTATTCTCAACACACTGACTGTTTTAGGTAGACCTATTCCTGTACTGTATTCACTGTTAATATTAACCAAAACGAGAAAAGTGACTTCCTAATTACTCAGCACTTTACTGGATATTACAACAAATTCCGTTTTAGTCAATCAGACGGCTACTATACCACTTAAAAAAATCTGTCATCACTCGGTGACCAAAATTAAGCAACGTTGATCCCCGTTAAAATCTGCATGGGAATGTCGGATATCACTGGCTTCTCGTGTGTCGACGGTTCAATGGTAGAATGCATTCCTGGCCAACGCACTCCCAAACCTCGCCTCGTTTATTGGCCAACAATAAGCACTGAAAAGAGGAGAGTTCAGTGTGAGGCTAGCAACTCCGCTTCGTAAAATAAAACAACACCGCTAATGGAAAATTAAAAATGCTTGAAAGCTTATGTTTCACTAGCAACGAAAGGAATGAAAAAATCAAGTGATGACATTTACAATCAAATAAGTGATTACAGCTTACGTGTCTTGTTGTATCCATTCCATCTATATAATGGTTCTTACTGCGGTTTTGATATTTGATATAACTTTCTTCACTTGATGAAATTAATGCCAATTTTTTTACCTTCTGAGCGAGTAGCTATAATGACACATGTTATAGGTAATAACGCATCATTCAGTGCAGTTCTGTAACAGATTTCTCAGCTTTTCTCATGCAAAAAAGTTAATTCTAGTTATCATGTGATTATATTCTACCTTACATAAATAAGAGATTCTTGACCGTACACTGTCTTACCTTTGAAATTAGCCAGATATGAAGAACAGGATATATTAACATTTTCTAGTATAAAAGGCGCATGATGTCAGCGCTTTGGCTATGTTAACTGTTGTCTCTAGTCTTGTCACAATTATTCTCCCCCTTATAGTCACTTAGAAAGAACTTAATATGGAGATTTATTACAGAGAAAATTGTCGAAGCAATCTGCACCAACTACCGCGAGTAAGTCATACATTCTTAAGATGTCAGATGAATACAAGAAAATAGGGAGAGAGGAGAAGACTTTGACTACCTATGAAGCATTCTATCGTAAAAATTCCAATTTCAACAAGAAAAGAAATCCTTGAGCAGTCATAAATTATTCCTGAAGTCTGCACAACTCTGACATGGACACTCGAATACTGCACATGATATAACTTGTAGCATGGGGGTGTAAAACAGGACTCTCTGTGATGCAACAGTAAAACCTGAATAGTATGTCAGACTGTAATTTCACTCTTATGGTTTAAGACATGTTCCTGAGCCATTCAGATAGGATTATTCTTTTAACTGGAGCTGGAACTAATTCATTCTAATACATTTGAACATCCTGACAACATACCCCATGCTACCAGTCTGTCTTCAAGTAATCACACGACTTTAAAAATCAATTTTTACAATTTCACTGCACTTCTTTCCTTCAATTTTATTGGTAGCAAACTATTAAATGAAAATCTGCAACACCTACTGAATCAATACAGTTGTATGCATCCAGTTTTGATTTGATAAACAAACTTTTAATAATCAACCTCTTTTGATCAAATTGGATTATAGGAGTTCCTCTCTAGCTCGCCTTCCAATATAATTGTGGATCAGTGTATGCATTAAGGGGGTTGGGCTTTATACTCAGTGACAAGGAAGTAAAATTACTTTAAGTATAACTGTTGCTGATTAGAAAAATAAGGGTTAGATAAAAACTACTTATCTCTTAAGAGAACTTCCATAATCACTCTTTATTATTATTGTTCCCTTGAGCTCCGAGAGGAACACAGAGCTTCAACAACGCATCTCTACTTTGTCTTTTTCTTTACAGTGGTCTTCAGCTCGCCCCAGGACTGCCCATAGTCTCTAAAAGCCTGCACGCTCGATATCCTCCATGTCACTTTCGGACTTGCGCCAAACTCATGCTTTCCCACTCGGGTTCCACTCGAGTGCGTCATTCACTGTTCTCCTCAGCGTGTGTATCATCCGTTTTGACCTTCTTCGGGATATTTATTGAGCAATCGGTTCTTGACTGGTTCGTCACCAGAGTTTCTCGTTACTAATTCATTCTGGCCTGCCATCTTATCTTCAGTATGGAGCCAACGAATGCAGTTGTTGATAAAAGTCTGTAGTAGTCTGTGTCGACTGCCTGTAGCTGAAACGATGCTGCCTATATAAGTGAAGAAAATGACCTCTTTCAAGTTCCTCCCGTTGATAGGGATTGGTAGTTGTCTTATTGTCGCTTGGCAGTCTTCATCACTTTTGTTTTCTCTACGTTCACTTAACATCCTGTCCTCTCTGCTTCTTCTGCCAGTTTGTCGGTTTTCACCTGTAACTCTCCTAGTTCACGTGATTTTACTTTATCGATATTTTCATATACGGAAGGTAAAACCTAATTATTGATAACTCCACGCATTCTAATAAGCTTAATCAGAGGAAAACAAACTTCTTCCCATTTACGATGAACAGTTGTGAAGGATGTATTTTATCTGATGAATACACTTATATAAAGCAATAAAAAGACGTAATTTGTCTGAATCGTGTAATGTATTTGCGCGACACATCTCGAACAATCTGATCACACACGGACTTGTCATAGGAATATATATGAAATTAATAAAGAAGTAAGAGGTGAGAAAATAGACTTAGGTCAAGTTAAAAGGACATATTCAAGGTCAAAGTAACAATAAAGATCACTAAACCAAATAGCAGAGGTAATAGTACATCTGCCTAACTGGTATCAAATCAAAAATTTACCAAAGAAGGTTTATTGTGATGACGAATTGTTTTTGAACGCATAAAGGTGGCTTAAACTCTCTAATTGCCAGCTAGGGCTTCCACAAACTTTAGGATACGCCCCAAACACGTTTTATAGATCGATTTAACAGCAGAGTTCAGTCTTTGTTTAGTTATCAAGCTGCTATGATGCCCCATATAGGGTGGCTTGATGGACACGTCTTTCTTAGGGGTGAGTTGTAGAATGGGTCTTGGTGTTCTGACTACTTTATATCTACTGATCGATCAACTTGTCTGGATAATTGTTATCGACCAGAGTTTGAGTCAACTTTCTTTTTTCTTCATCAAGTGTGTTTTAACCAATTTGAATGTACGTGTGGACACACATACATACATAGGGAGGACTCATCGATCTCTGCAAGTAAGGGCTGGCTTCAGAGCATATTCCTAAATGGCTCCAGAAACAAATGGAATCTTCAGAACCTATTAGTGGTGAGAACAGGAGACCTAGCTCCTCTACAGCGAAACATATTATAGAGGGTGGAGTTAGCTGATCAGTAGATATGGTGGTGGACACTAAGGTGAATCGCCCCATTCTGCAGGAACAGCATTAAAAAATTTGAAGGCTCGAGATATTTCTGGTTTTTATGAGGGCTTAAATCTTTATCTTGAAAAAGATAACAATGAACGCCTTGACAGATCATGCTTCTACCTTTAAATATATACCATTCACCCAGCCTATTGTTGAGATGCGACCATGTGGGATCTGCTCAGATTTATGGGGCATCTTATAAATTAACTTGCTGTCTATCGTCAGATCTTTTCATACCACTCCACAATGTCTTATCTCATTTATTTTCTGACAACGTCTTTACTTGATCCTCATTTTACTCAATTAAACTTAACATCTTATAGCTCTTCATTACTTATTATACTCCTACTCTCTGAAGGGTACGGTTGTGCACTAAATGCACAAAAAGGTATAAAATAAAAACAACTGGCATGAGGATAATTGTATTAAAACCAAAAGTGGTATCATGATAGTTTGTGATATATCTGTAGCATTATACATTGCAAATGAATGTTGTTACCCTAGGGTGTTTCCTTTATTAATGCATTTATTAATGATACTTGCACTTACCTATCTCATTACAATTTAATGATTCACTTCAGCACTTTAATTTTTCTAAAACAGATTCCAATCCCTTGTAAAAGGTGTACTTACCTCAATATCGGTTGGTTATCGTATGCCTACAACCACGGGATGAAAACGGAACGAAGTCGATTTTCCCGCTCAACCTGGAGGACAACTGTACAATTCAATAACTATACGGCCTAATTCAGAAAATGAGTGTATTATTTGTATCGAATATTTAACAGTTGAAATACGATTAACTTGTAGACAATCTACGATTTGATATTATATCATACTTGATCGTGCCTGTAAAAATGGCATGCATTTTCATGTAAATTTGTAAATTTATATGAAATACATTATTATTATATTATAAAATTGACATTAACAGATCTTTTAAACCTATCTATAAAAAGTGTTTGGAGCGTATCCTAAAGTTTGTGGAAGCCCTAGCAATTAGGAAGTTTAAACCACCTTTATGCGTTCAAAAACAATTCATCATCACATTAAACCTTCCTTGGTAAATTTTGTTTTGATACCATAGCAGATGTACTATTGCCTCTGCTATTTGGTTGAGTGATCTTTATTGTTATTTTGACCTTCAAAATGTCCTTTTAACTTGACCTAAGTCTATTTCATATATATTCCAATTACAAGTCCGTGTGTGATCAGATTGTTCGAAATGTGTTGCGCAAATACGATTCAGACAAATTACGTCTTTTTATTGCTTTATATAAATTCATAAAGGGAACTAATTGTTTTGAATACATTTATGTTTGAATGAAAACTTCATGTCTTTCAAGTCTTGTAAGGAACAACAGTAAACACTGGAGCTCAGTAATCTGGATCTATTTTACCTCACTGACTGTCTTCAGTTGCATACAAACGATGCTATTTGCTATATTACACCATGATTAACGATTCTGAGAAAGAATTTTTTGTGAGAATCAGATGAGAAAAATGTTGACACAGGAAAATATGGAATTCTCACTTAATTTCATGCATATGATAAAGTTGAGTGATTGGAATTGTACTCAAATGACAATACAGTTATTAATGATGACATACATTTATACTGTATTCCCTATAAAGTGTTACGCATTAGCTAAAATAAAGGGAAGGCTGATAATAACAGTCTAACTGAACTGACATTCTAATTTTTGGATGGCAGATCACTTTTTATTGTAGTAGGTTGAATCTTACTTCTGGATGCATTGAAGCTTTTAGACTGCAAAGAATAATAAGTACATGATTTTGTTGTATCTGTAGAAATAACAGATAAAACTATTTAGACAAAGGTACCAATCAGACAATCACCATGGTTGCAGTGACGTTTTTTATCCATCTGTCACATTGCCATTATCATCAGAGTGTAATGATAACTCACCTTTGTAATGTATTCATTTTCATATGACTGCGTTGAGTTTTTATATTTGCCTGTTGATGTCTCATCACATATCTGAGTAACTCTATAGATGTTATATTATTTACTGTTATTCCCTTGGGTTCCAAATGGGACACAGGGCTTCAACAGCACGTCTCCAAGACTGTTCATAACCTCTCACCCCCTTCTTGCACGATCTCTTGTATATCATTTCCTGTTCGCGTCCCACTCTAGAGTTTAGCGTGGTGTGTCGCTCGATAGTCCCTTCAGCACGTGTCCAATCCATCTCCATTTCCTTCTCCATGTTTTTCGAGCGACAGGTTCTCGGTTGGTCCGTTCCCAGAGTTTCTTGTTGCTAATTCTTTCTGGTTGGCCATCTTATCTTCAGTAAGGAGCCAGCGAATACAGCTGTCGATAAAAGCCTGAAACTTCTTGGAAATGCTTTGCATGACACGCCAGTTTTCTGATTCATATAGAAGAACTGACTGACTTAACGTTGACGTTAAAAATCTGTGCTGTGTACATCAGGTTTCCAAACTGATTTCAGAGTGATGAAGGTCTGTCTACCTTGTCTTTTCTCATCCGTACTGTTGCCTGCAGTTGAAATGATACTGCCTAGATAAGTGAAGAAAGTGACTTCTTTCTAGTTCCTCCCGTTGATAGTGATTGGTGATTGTGTTGTTGATGGCTAGTTGGTTATCTTCATCACCTCCACCTTCACCATGTTAACTTGAAGTCCTGTCTTTGCTGCTTGTTTCTTCTGTCAGTTTGTTGTTTTTCACCTGTGTGTCTTCAAATTTCTGTGACATTAGATATAAATCGTCCACGAAATCCAGATCCTCTAAAGTCTTGCAATCAGTCCAGCACACTCCTGTCGTTTAACTCCTGATGCAGAGTCTTCCACATAATCCAGTCCACCACAATTAAGAATATCATAGTAGGGAGTCTTGTTTTACTCCCGTCTTCACTTCAAAGGTTTCTCTGAAGTATAGGTATAATATCTGGGTTAGTGCTAACAATGTCATACAACTCAGTGATCAAGCTTCCACGACTGAACATAAAAGCTTACAGAATACTAAACAGTTTAATCCTCATCCTTGGTCAAAATATCTTACCTATTATCTCAATATACAACATCTTTGTTCAACTGCATAAAAAAGAAAAATCAAAGGGTTGCCAAGTAGAATTTTCTACAATGCAATACGATGTGCTTTACTTTGTTTTATTCGCTTTAAATTTACTTAGCTGCGCCGAAAACATTCAATCAGATGGGAGATTTCTTCACTTTTGATTATAACTGGTTCGTCCATAGTACTGAGAAACAAAACGAGAATTGTCCTTTCGATATAATGAACTGTCTTTCAAATTCCTTCTTCTCAAATAATTTTTTTTTTTGGGTTTATCTTTAAGCAGAATTGAATAACCCTCATTTTTGTCAAACAAAGAAGTAACTGACTGAAATCAATAAAGTCATCAGATGCTACTCTAACTTTTATCTCCTGAATATGCTCATCAGAGTAAATAAATCTGGTATTTTGTTATCTTTAAAAATATGCTTATCTATCTACCCAGGGACCGCTAGTTTCTTTGAACACATATATATGTCCTTGAGATAAACGCAATAACGTGTAAAACTTTATTACATGTATGCGCATACAAATAATATTTTATATCTGCATCGATCTCTAATTAAAAGAAACCAGAATAAGGACAAATGTACAAATATTCAAGTGATGGTTTGTAGGGATTTGATTGGTTACAGGATTTCATCATGAGCTGACATTAGTTAGAGAACTATTAGAAAACCTGCGAAAAGTACTGGACAGCTGTTTCGTCCTGGTTTAGGACTCTTCAGCAGTACGCACCCACTGACAGGGTTCGAACCCGGGACCTTCTGGTTAAAAGGCTAGCGAGCACGTATACCATCAAGCCACTGGTACCCGATCCAATGCCTAGTCCATGAATTCTAACTTCTACCAATTCACGATATAGCACGACCCCTAGCCAATGTCTTCGACGAGTATTTGTCATCACACCCAACCTGCTGTGCTCTACTGATCATGAGCTCGCCCTGTAACCAGAAGTTCCTGGGTTCGAGTCCTGGTGGGTGCGTACTGATGAAGAGTCCCAAACCAGGAAGAAACAGCTGTCCAGTACTCCCTACAGGTTTTCTAATGGTTCTCTAACTAATGTCAGCTCATAATGAAATCCTGTAAATGTACAAATAGTTATCACTGTTTCAATTAATCCAACTTATAAGTAGAAAAATAAATTCATACTGAGTTGAATAACTGAAAGAAACGAAGCTTGTATAGTTTAGTATTAGGTTATGCTTAGTATAGTTGCATCGATATTATTATTACCATTCATTGTTCCCTTAGATTCCAAGTGAAACATATGGCTTCAACAGCATGTGTCCTTTCTGCCGAATTCTCTGCAGTGATTTCTTCAGCTGGGCAGACAATGGCCCATAGTTCCTCATCTGTCCTTTGGTTGATCTCTTTCATGTTACCCTCTGATGCGCCCCCCACTAGTCGTTTCCTATTCGTGTTCCACCCAAAGGCCTGGCGTGCGATGTTATACAACAGTCCCCTCTGAGTGTGCCCTATCCATTTGCATTTTCTTCTACATATTGTAACAAAAGAAGACAAGGGCCAGGCAACAGAACGTTTATTACGGAAAATCAACACGTATATATAGATTTTGATGTACATTATTGTAGGTTAATGTTGGCAGAAAATACAGTCTATTGATTGGTTGTTTCTCACACAAAGTTAACCTTGCATCTCTTGTGGCTGTGTCAGTTCATCTATGTGTTAACTGTATCCGCCTGTCCATCTTGACCTTTGACCTCAATTACTGTCAACCAATTTGGCTAGCAACCATCTCTCACCACAACATGACTAATATTTGAAACATAAACATTGACATCAATTACTGTCAACTAATTGGCTAGTAGACAGCTCTCACCACAATATTATTTCTTACAACGATTTATCACTTTCCCAGATTATTTTCTACTGATAATTTGTTATTACCTAATTCAAGACTCTGTGTATACAGTGGTTAGATTGGGAAATGTATACATCTTATTTGATTCATAAGAAAATAGAAATCTCGGTCTTCAAAAATTAATTTTACAATAGTAATGCGGAATACTTTGCGTGATGATATTTCTTTTGCCATGGAATTAAGAATAACTGCCTTACATTCTATGAATTGATTGAGACTGAAAAATATCAACCTTAGAATTAATTAATATCTACTGGTTTGTAAATCTCAAATTTAACCTAAAAGCAAAAATTGAAAGCCGAATGAACTGTGTTCACGTAAATGATCACTGCTAACTAGTTCCCTCACTTATGAATCTGTCAGCTATTCTGTTCGAATAAACAGTTCAGAATTTTGAAAATATGAAATGTTTATTGATGCTGGAAGGAAACCTTTGCCACGGGAAAAGTCAAGATAATACTTTTAAAGTTTTATGTTGTACTTTGCATTAGTACAGTAACAATCATAAATTTACTTTCCTCCCAACAGGCAGTTTGATGAAACTTTTAGTTCGAAAACCTATGAGTACTGGACAGCTGTCTGGTCCTGGTTTCGAACTCTTCGTCAGTATGCCCACAAGAACTCCAGGTAACACTTCCTGTATGGAGCCAGTAACTAGTAAGCATCAGATTAATTACCAAGTGTTGGTTTTTAGAACTTCGATTGTTCACAGCTTTCGCCACAAATTGACATCAGTTAGAGAACCATTGGATAACGTGGGAGTACTGGACAGCAGTTTCTTCCTAGTTCCGGACTCTTCATCAGTACTCATCAACCAGGGTTCAAACGCGAGACCCTCCTGTTATGAGGCAAGCCCGCAGACCATCCCGTCCCTAGCCCATGAATTCCAACTGCTACCAGTTCGCGATATACATAGCATAACCGACAGGCAATATCATAGGTGAGAAAGTGATCTCTTACCTGACTTGGTTCACATCACTGGTTACAACTTCTCACAAACTGGCAGGAGTTAGAATTAATGGGCCTTTGGACAGAGTCCCAGTAGTTGAATAGTCTATGAACTCGCCTGGTAAACAGAAGGTCCTGTGAGTGTGTACTGATGAAGAATCCGGGATTTGGAAGAAACTGCTGTCCAGTACTCCCGGGTTTTCCAATGGTTCTCTAACTGATGCGGCGAAACCTGTAACCAGTCGAATTCCTGCAAACCAACACTTAATAATTAAAACTTTTGTAACCAAACTGAAAGTAAAATTCGAGCAACAGTTCAAACTTTAAGCTGTGTCAGTCAACAGATTGCCATTTGAGAGTTAATCAGTGTATGACGATCCTTCCAGCTCTATTCATCATTATCCTCGCTGTTTGTGAATATCTCTTTATTTGAAAACTATCAAATATGATATAGTTAGTAAAAATTCAGATACAAATGAATATTACTCACAGAAAATAGATGAAAAAATGATTTCAAATGTTCCTCCTCTTCAGTATGTGTGAAAAAGTCTCCATCATCATTTTCCATTTCATTTAAATTAATTGTACAACCAGTTTGTTTATCAAGTATGACGTTCAGTTTGTCTAGTTGTAGCTGAAATTTAGTTTTCTGTTTTTTTAATGATAAAAAGCATATGTTAGTATTCTAAACAGTTACAAAGTTGAATAATGAGCAAATACTTCATTTAAAAACCCACCTGAATAAATCATACAGAGACTATTGAACATTGAATGACTGAGTATTATCAATGAGATGAATGTGATTAGGATTTCTGATGATATTTGTAATAGGGATAAGTGAGTAACCTTCAGAATCACTAGGGAAACTGGGTTTAATATATTAAAGGGATAATAAAAAGCGATCAGTGGTCTGATTGATTTTAGTAGGTCAAATTCACAAAGTGTTTTTGTCAAACTTACTAACTTAAATGATCGTCTGCTTTATACGAAGAAGAATGACTACAGAAAAGTAGAAAGACATCCTTCTCATGTTGACTCTAAGTGTGTAGTCAAATTTACTTGTGTCTGCGGTAGCATTTACATTGGGAGAATGGTGCACCTTCGACTTTCTGTACATGTATCAAAAAGCCTGTGTCTCAGGAGGACAAGCGCTTACGATAATGCCATTGCCAGATATATGATCAATACGGGTCATGGAGTGGACATCACGAAATCCTTTAAAATTATGAATAGACAAAACAGTTCAATTCTCCTCAAGTTGGTCAACGTAATCGCTATCAAACGCCTGAAAATCGATATATATGTTCAGAAAGAAGTAGTTGTCAAAATCTTTCCTTACCCTAGTTACCTGACGGTTTTACTCAGTCTCTGTCTTATTTGATTACGTAATCTTTGACTCTGACCTTTCCTATCCTCTCTGTAATTTAACTTTGCTTGTCTCTTGCTTTTATGATTTGATTTGAACTCACTTCACTGTCACTCAACGTACTAGTTACTCATCATCTTATTTACCCTTTGTCTTTAATTTGAAACTCTTTTGCCATTGTATCTAAGCCCTTATCTTTGTTTAAGCTTGAACTTTCTGAGTATAAACTAAATCAGCGTAATTTCTGAGCACTATCTATTAAGTTTGGAGTCTCCTGCCAACTAATATTATGTAACATTTGTAAGTATCTTACAATTGTTTTGTACATAAACTTGGTAATTTCTTCAGGTTGTAGGCAGCTTGTGAGAAGCCAATGAAATAAGTTCTGATGCCATCTTATTCCTCACAAACTCTTGGTCTTGCTTTATTTGCTTTCTTTCTACCACAGAACTCACTTTATATGTACAGCAGCGGTTGATTATTGCATAATTGTGTGTGTTGGGTTAATTTAGCCTGGACTATATAACAGTGAGGTATACTGGCAACTAATTAACATTTTCCAAGCTTTATTCTCAGATTGTAGCTGTTTCATCTTTACATAAACAATGAGGATTAACAGAAAATTTCTCTAAAGATGAACAGATATTTAAGAAAAATTCTTTGACGTTTGAATTTATTGACTTATCGAAAAGCTTTTTAGTCTTGTATCAGAGACGCTAAATTCTTTTTAGACTGATTAGATCAAAAAGTGCTGGATCACTTATCTCAGTGATCTATTTTTAACTGTTTGCACTTTCAGTTATCTAATATTAATGGCCTGCATTTTCAAGCTATCTAATTAAGGTACGTGAATATTTTGTAGATGAGGTTGTATGCGGTGACAAGAACCGACGACATAAAGTGATATTATACCGCCCAGCTTAATCCTTCGTTCTTGCTTCGTTCAGATTCATCGAGGGAGAAATCTGCACAAAGTATTAACAGTTAATTTACTGATATTTCAAAATCACTTACCTTTCTGGGAGCTAAACAGCAAGGGGGAAATTCGAAACAAATATAACAGTGGGTTGAACACTTTAAAGGACCGTCACCTGTAACTCTACCAGAAATACCAAAAACAACAGCAAACACAGAAATACCAGTAGACACAGACTCTCCAAGGAAAGCGGAATTCCTGAATGCAATCAAGCTAATGAACGCCGACTGGGAAGCACTCAAAAAGGACCCAGAGACTGCGGCAGAAGTGCTCAGGCCATTACTGCGAAAGGTTTAAAGGATGGAAGAAAAGGTACCTGATTAGAAGAAAGGCTACCTCTTCAGGCTATCAAAGAAGGGCGATTTAGGCCTGACTCTGCAAGAACTGCCGTGGAATAATACTCTTGTTCACGCCAAGTAAAGTACTATGTTGCCTCAACCTGGAGAGTATAATAGATGCACTGGATGCAGAACTCCACAAGCCATCGGAATAAGCTAGATTCAGGAAAGACAAATCATGGGCTGATCAAACCGCAACTCTACGCATCATTGTCATAGAACAAAGCATAGAATGGCAGCCAAAACTCCCTCTACCTCAACTTCATTGACTTCGAAAAGGCCTCCAACAGACAGTGTTTACTGAGAGGTAATCTGGAAACTGATTCAACACTATGGCGTGCAGTGCCCAAGTATTTATCAACTTCATTCAACCACAGCTATATGACATTTCCACGTGTCAGGCGATCAACAATGGGAAAGTGCATACAGGAGGAACACAAGGCTGGCTATTATCACCAACGATAATATTCCTGATTGTGGTGGACTGGATTATGCGTCAGACTGTGCATGGCGATGAGAAGATAGGAATACGCTGTGCCACAGATAAGAGGACTCTCGAACATCTGGATTTCGCAGATGATATATGTCTAGTGTCACACATACTCGAAAACTTGCAAGCAAAAACCAACAAACTGGCTAAAGAGACAGCGAAGACAGGACTGCAGATGAACATAGAAAAGACGGAGGTAATGAAGATAACCAACGAGCCGCAACAACAACAGCAACCACCTCCTTCAGTTATCCGGGTAGGAAGCAAGGTTTCAACCACAAGCAGGGGCATGGATGAAGATGTCAAAGCCAGCTAGAATCGGAGAGAAAAGATATGTCTTTATCAACCTGAAACCAGTTTGGAAATCTTCTGCACTCAGCCAGCATAAACAACAAGATTCGGATTTTCAACACAAATGTGAAGTCAGTCAGTTCTTCTATACGGGTCAGAAACTTGACACGCGTTTTACGAAAAGGATTTCTAACAGGTTGCAGACTTTCATCAACAGCTGCCCGCTTCGCTGGCTCCATAGTGAAGATCAAATGGCCAGAAAGAATAAGCAACGAGAAACTCTGCAGTGGAACAAACCAACCAAGAGCAGATCGCTCAACAAATATATAGGAGAAAATGGGGATGGATTGGGCACACGCCACTGAGGAGGCCGTCGAATGACATCGCCTACCATGCCATCGCTCGAGTGGAATCCTAACGGGAAGCGAAGAGTGGGTCTCAGTGCTAGGATGACATGGAGGAGATCGTGTGAGAAGGAGATGAGAGACTATGGTCAATCTGGGACCCAAATGAAGAGGAGCAGAAAATAGAGGTGGAGATGTATTGTTGAAGCCCTATGTTATACTCGGAACCCAAGGGAAAAATAATAATAATTTTTGCAAATCCATATACACTCTCTAGACATTAAAGTATTATGATAAAATCATACAATAATTTGTCAACACTGGTGAGGTAACAGTTTCATTTCAGATACTTAATATCAACTGACAGACGATAAATATCGAAGGGATTAAGTTCTATTTAGCGAGACTGACTAGACTCTCTCGTTATCCCACTTTTCCAGTAATACATAACGAGTTTTCTTCCGTAATTAAAGACAATTTACGAAAAAATGAAACAAAACTGGAAACATTTTGAATTCATCACTTTCTAAATTAACTTTATTGATAATGACTAGCATTGCAGACACTGTAAATTGTGCCAAAGAGAACCCATACCACTTATTACGTTTCTACTACTGTTCTTTTTTGTGAATTGGTTGATTGGCTAATGGTCACTTAAGACAAAATCCTATTTCTGACTTTATTGTTAGTAGTACATCGACAACCACAAACTGTAAATTTCACCACTTCGTTAAAACACTATATGTGTACATATGAGCAAACCTGTAAGTACCAGCATAAAGTATGAGTAGAGTCCAAACGATATCAAACTGATTCTTGTGTCAGTTGTTAGATTTTCATCATAAATCAGCATCAGTTAGAGAGGTCACTGGAAGTCAGAAAACACTAGACAGCTGTTTCGTCCCAATCTGGGGTTCCTCATTAGTGTACACCCAATACCCTACCAGGGATCAAAACCAGGACCTTCAAGTTACGTGATTAAGCTCGTTGATCATACTGAGATTTGGGCCCAAATTCAGTAACCTGTGAATCTTAACACTATCAAATTGTGAGGTGGGTGCTCGCTGAAGGCATTGGTGAGAGCAGTGCTTTATCACGAGCCGATGAAGTTAAAATTCAGTAGTCACGGAATTGTGGTCGAAATGGCTGAATTGTCAACGAGCTTGGTTTCGTAGCCTGGAGGTCCTTGGTGAGGTCTCAGATGATCACTGATGAAAGCCTTCAAGATGGGACGAAACAGCTATCTAGTGCCCCTGGTTTTCAATGGTCCATTTAACTTATGCTCTTTACTGACTAAAATTTAACAACTGAAATTAATCCAAATCCCTAACAATCCCATAATCTGAATATCAATCACCAGCTCACTGGTAGCTACTGGATGAACTCCGTGAAGCTGCAGTAGGAAGTCGAGACTCTTAGGGTCCACCGTGTCAAGGTCAAGGTCGAAGGCATTGGTGAGGATAGCGCTATATTACGAGTCGACAGAGTTAAGAATCACGGGTCATTGAATTCCAACCCAAGTGGCTGAATAATCAACGAGTTTGGTCTCGCAACCTGAAGCTCCTGGGTTGTTGACTGACAGAATCATGTGTGTGCACTACTGAGGGGTTCCAAAATAAGGCGAAACAGGCATTCAGTACTGCCTGTTTTTCAGTGGTCCGGGTTCGCGATGAAATCTGACAAATGGAATTAATCCAAATACCCATAAGTACTCCAATTTGAATCGTGTATGTCAAAATAGTGTGAAGCCTCTTCAGTTTCTTCACTGCGCAACTTATACTCTGTGGTCACAACATAATTTATCTTCCTTGAAGGCATCATTCTGATTTAGGTCACATTAACAAAAGTATCATCCCAATAGTTTTCAGGGTATTCACACAATATTTTTTTTTAAATCGAATTCCCAGTTCTCCTAACTCATAATTTAGGTTAGATATTTGCTTACTTGCATAAAATAAGTAGTATGGTTTTTTAAACTAAAAGCGGAGATGATCATATCGAAAAGAGAATTACTTTTGGCGAAATGAAGACATCCTTGTTGTGCCTACGGTAAAAGCTCCCAAGAGATGAGAAGTTATTACGTTCATCGATAAATCCATCTAAATTACATAATTACATTGGTTAATGGATCTTGTTCCCTTTTTATCAATGAGATTACCGTAGTTATTTATATCTTTATTATCCAAAAAGTAGTACCATCCCACATAGACTGCATTCTTAAAAGCATGCGGTTTACCCCACTCCAAACGTTGGCTATACTGCACGCTTCTGTCTGAATTATTTGGAATTAATTGCTTATAAACCTGAAATAGCATAATGTGAAAGCCTACGTTTAACAGTAAGTGATGTGGAATAAATGAATATATATCAGTTAAATTTGAGGGACGTTAAATGATTACCGGATGAAAGAGTCATATATGTTTAAAGCCTGTTTTTATACAATCTCAACAAGTAAGAAAACAACGTTGCCTTTTAATAATTCAGAATTTCTTCCGATAGGTGTGGAGTTCTAAAATCTTATAGGTAAGGAATATCGATAAAGATGAATGCGAATTCCATTCCTCAACATATTTAAAAATATGCAGGAAAATTACAATCTAATAAACAATGGATTTAATTTGTACACGAAAAGCTAGATCCTTATTGAAATGAGCACTGAAGATGGTGTCCAGGGGGACATTGAAAGCTTCATAATTAAACCAACCAGCTCAGAAAACACAGCAACATTTTCTTCACTTTTCCAAAGCCAAATATGCACATTTTGTGAACACAATATAAAGTCCATTAGTGTGTCTACTAAAAAACTTGGCCTCCATTAGGTCAATCTAGCGTCACCAGATACTGTTTGCGATATAGTGTGCAAACTTATTCATCTCTGATGGCTTGCAATACTTAAAAACTAGTTGAGATTTGTACAGGATTATGCATAAAGTTGACCCAGCATATTTGTCTGCATGCTAGTGACATTTAATGGCTCTGTCACATCGTATATGTGGTTAAATTAATCCCAAACGTGGACTGTTATCAAAGTGTTCAAACGGATGTACTAAAACGGAGTCTCTCATGACAATGATATTAGTTTAGCGGAGCATTAAAGGGTTCTGAAAAATACACTGTGTAAAACATTATATGGAAGTTATGTTACGAATAATTCAGCTGTTAATTTAGTGAGGTTTTGTTTACCTTCCCGTTAGGTCAGTTTAAAACACAAAAACCATTGGAAACAGTGGATACTACACAGTGACCGGATGCCAGTTCCCATTACGTCATTAGAGTATGCATAAAACTTCAGAAAGCATAGAGACTGAAATAGTCAGGTTTCTGAATGATCGTGTTACAAACAAATTACTCAGTTGATACCTCATTGTTCATAGTTTTATATGCCTACGGTAGTTTTCAATAACTTTATTGATAAGTAACCTTATTTATGGGGTTTTTGAAGGCACTATAAAGAGTATTTTTGAATGAAACCAAAACATGTAGTTCAGTGAAGAGTTTCTTTTCGGCGAATTCATTTTCCTAGCTGTACAATCGCAAATATATATATATATGTATATGGGTTATTTTGTATGTATGTGTACATTAAGTTCGTCAAACAAAAATACAATTGGTTATGGCTATTTTAAGTAAACAGGCGCAAATCGGGCACGGGCAGACCAACGGGCACGTATACGCTAAGATTGTATGGCCTACCTAAAGTGCATAAAGCAGGGGTACCGTTAAGAACAATAATTGATATGCAAAATTCACCCTACCATGCCCTAGCTAGATGGTTAGTAAATATTCTCAAACCTTTGCATGATAAGATAGTGAAATATAGCGTCAAAGATGAATTTGAATTCGTAGACAAAATCAAAGATATTAATATCAAGGACAATACCATGATATCTCTGGACATAACATCGTTATTCACAAATGTACCTCTAATAGAAACACTTAACTACATATATGAGCAAGTGTATAACCAGTCGATAAACATTGGCATCCGTACTGAAATCCTAAAAGAATTGTTATTAAGATGTACCATGAATGTAAACTTCAAATTTGACGGCACGCTTTACAGGCAAGTGGACAGGGTGGCGATGGGCTCCCCATTGGGTCCCATTCTGGCTGATTTCTTTCTAAGTAAGCTAGAAAATGGACCTTTGAACAACCTTATCAGTAAGCTCCCATTTTATTGCCGATACATAGATGATACCTTCATTCTTTGTGATAATGGTTCTGAAAGGAGTACAGTAATTACTGAATTCAATGAAGTACATTCGGCTGTGAAATTCACATGCGAAGAGGAATCCCAAGACAGAATTGCCTTCCTGGATGTCCTACTCACAAGAAAACCAGATGGCAGCATAAAAAGAAATTTGCATAGAAAAAGTACCTGAACAGGACAATGTACACATTTTTACAGATTTGTTCTTATCAAGCACAAAAGAAATTTAGTGAAGACCCTCAGCCACAGAGTTAGAGTTATATGCTCAGAAAAAGTAATTGAAGATGAATTAAGCACTGTATATAATACTTTGATCGAAAATAGCTATCCCGACAAATTTATCAAGAAACACATGACAAAGAAAGCGGAAAAGGACTACTCACTATCTGTAAACAATAAGCCACTTTATATACGACTACAATTCAAGGGTGATATACAAAGTGAGATAATTACGAGGAAATTAAGAAAATCAGTTCAAAGAACTTTTAATGCTGGCGAACTTCCCGTCTTATTCTCTACACGACCGACGGTGCTACCTCGATTGAAAGATGAAGTTCCAAGACTAGCCAATTCCAAGTGATGGTGGAGCGAGTTATATCGACCGTTGCTCTAGTAAATTAACTTTTCGTGCTTGAGAACATCTCCCAGTATGGCTAAGTAAAGGTATAGTTAAAACCATGAACAGTTCGATATTTAACCATCTGGTGCAAACCGGCCACAAAGCCAGCGTTGAAGAATCCTTCTCTATCATCTACCGGGTGCCTTATAAATTGCCGAAATCATCAAAGCACTGCATGCCCCAAACAGCAGAGGCTATTGCAATTCGCCTCAAACAACCAGTGATCTGTGTTCAAAAGAAGCAAGTCCAGCCCCTACTACTGCCCTGGCCTTCAGTAGAGACTATAAATTCATTAATTTGTATTATTATCTTTCCTGATTTTTCTGACATTCTGCTTATTTTTATGTTGATGCTATTCAGCTGTAATCTATCAATATTATTGATTCGATGTTATTTAAACAACACGAATGTTGTTCATAACACTAATTCATTCATTCACTATAATGTATATATAGCTGTAGAGCCTGATGATGAATTTATCGGAAAGAATACTCTTTGTTCAGTATCCATTCTATTGAAAAATTTTAATGGGCATTTTTACTCAGCGAGAATCGGTGAGTTTTGGGTGGAGTTACGTAATACAAAAACGGTCAAGAAAATTCGGTATTAATGAAACTAGTGTAGTAACAAAGATGATGAGTTGTTACAAACAGTTCTTAAAAAGGAGTTAGGTAATAATATGAGTAGTTTGATAATTGAGTTGTACTCAGGATACGCTTAGGAACAAAGTAAAGAATTTTAATTTTGAATGGGGAGAAAACCATAATTCTGTATCATTTCAAATGCAGCTGATGTTTTTTATTCATGTTTTCTTATTCTAATAAGTGTTAAATAATGTAATCATTTACTACCATACTACTGCATTAATTTTGCTTACCTCAACAAATTTGAAGTTTCTGTGATCGCTTATAACTGTAGTGCTAATATCACGAGTACTGATGTCTTCAGGAGAGACATTTGGGCTTAAAAAGAGACTACTAGAAAGATCATAAAGCCAAAAACGTAACAGATCACCATACTGATCACAGTGGAATTGTGGAAAATATAGTCTGGTTACGTGTCAAACAGACAGTGGAGTTGATCGATCTTTATAGGTATACCATGATATAATGAAACTAGGCCAAGTGGATCGCAAACCCTAATAAGTTCACTTTTTTATGAGTTTTGGTTATCTAAATGGTTGATACAATTATGTCGCTTCTCAGTAGTGTCAAACAGGAAAGAAACATTCTCTTAAACCTTCTGATAAATTAAAAGAAGGTATAAGATCTACAGGCTCTCATTATTTTGAGGATGAGTTGTGCGGAGCCCTAAATGACCAGTTAAAAACTAACAATGATGCTGATTTAACGTTCCACCTTCGTCTTAATGAACACCAACAAGGTGTTTAGAAATGCAAAAGGAATTGACTGAACCAATAAATGTCATAGGAATTAATATAAAACAGAAGAAAATTTTCTTTTCGACGAAGTCATCAACTAGGCTGTACATTTGTGTATTTATATTACATGTGTGAGAAAGTTCCAGAATTATTTCTGGTCAGAGGTCAGATTAATAAAATTACTCAATGTAATAATCAGGACGATTGGGTAGAAAAGACAAAATAGGATTTTAATTACTGGAAAACTCGTCAGATTTTATAATTACAGGTTAAGGACGTAGTATTAACGAAATGGGTAGAAGGTTCGGACATATAAAAAAATAAAAACAGTAACCAAATCTAATAATGCAGATAGGCATTTAAAAAGGTAAATATAACAAATGAACGGGAAGGTTGGACAAGAAAGGTAATAGGATAATCACTATTCTTGAGACTGACTTTTCATGATGGCCACGGTAGGGACAACGGTTGAACGTATTTCTTTTGGACACATAGAGTAGGCTTGGGTTTTCGGATCGCCAGTGCTTCAGCTATTCCTAGATGTCTTGATTTCACTTCCTTTGGTAGGTTGGATCGGATCTTGTATATGGCTTTGAAGGACTTTTCAAATGAGGCTGAATGTCCAGAATTCACCAGATGTTCTGTTATCGAACTGTATACCCCTTTGCTTTCTCCCTTTGCTAACCATGCTGGATAGTGTTCCCGCATGCGTTTTACAAGCGGACGCATGGTACGGCCAATGTACTCAGCTCCACACGAGCAAGTGAACTTGTATATGCATGTTGAAGTGGTCCAATGCGACAGCTTATCTTTCATCTGTTGGCTGAGTAGTTTCTTGCAGGAGAAGTATGTTTTACTGAGAGACTTCGAAAGCCGTCTATGGAGAATT